TTCAATTTTGAAACTCTAAACCACCGTCTCTGAGTTTTTCGATAACTTCCTAGACTGCCGTTCTACACCTCCGTTGCTCTTGGTTCAACCCAGAAGCAATTCGTTCTTTCCTCCTTGAACCTCTCTGTAAATCTCTCAAGTCCCTCTCTCTGCTTCTCTCTGCTTCTCACTACATGAATAGGGTTTTTATTCTACCCTAGCAGACGTAAACAGAAAATATATATATAGGCATCTTAACCCTAATTCTGATATAACAGTATATATAAACCTTAGATTATAACCTAATCCCAACGGCGACTACATACAAAATAATAAAACCATACACCGTAAAGATACACAATCAATTATAATCAATTTAATTAAAATGCCACATAGACATAAAAATAAAAATAAACAGATAACTCAATTAAATAATTACACAATTTAGCAAATAAACAATTAATAAAAATAAACAAGTAATTACACAATCTAAACAATTAGTTCAAATAAATAACCAAGTAAACAATCAAATAAATAAACAATTAAACAAATAGCAAGTAATCAAATAAAATGCAATAAAACCATTAATTAAATACCGAGATTATCCTTTTAAAATTAGGGATATTACACTTTTGTTGCTTTCTGTTTTGTCGTTCAGCTAATTTGTTGTTTTCTGTTTCGTCGTTCGGCTGATTATTGCTCTCTGTTTTGTCATTCGGCAGTCAAAATGCCTGACCATGTAAGTCTGAACGCTTGAACCTTTTGTCAGAACGCTTGACCATGTAGGTCAGAGCGCCTGACCTTTCAAGTCCGAACGCTTGGTCATAAGTTCGAATGTTTGACCATAGGTCAGAACGCTTGACCTTTCCGTCAGAACGCCTGACCATGTAAGTCCGAATGCCAACCTTAATGAGTACCGAGCGAGTGCCCAGCCTTGATGAATGCCGAACTGGTGCTCAACCTTGATGAGTGTCGAACGGTGTTCAACCTTGATGAGTGCCGAACGAGCGCTCAGCCTTAATGAGTGCCAAACGAGCGCTCGGTGCTTGGGCTTTAGATATGCGCTCGTCCATGTCTCTGAACCTTTCTTTCTTTTGCTTTGATCATCTTCTTCGTCCGGACTCCAAATCAAGTGATTCTTGAGTCTAACTTCATTAATTTTTCGGTATCTTTCTAATGGTGTACACGGTAGCACCCATTTCAGTTTAGAATGACCATTTGCCCTTGGTCCATTCCTTGGAGGGTTTTGAAACCCTAACTTTGGTCTCGCTTCCGTTGAGTCACGGGACTCTTCGGAATACCACTCTCGTGTCTTAGGGATGAAGTACATCTCTATTGACTTGTTTATGTCTTGCTTCCGCACTTTATTCCTTTGGGTTCCGTGACCTCATGGAAGGTCATCTTAGGGTCTTAGAGGTGTGTTCTGCCTTTGGAGACCGTTATCTTGTTTTTTGCTTCCGCATCTGAATCCGTTATCGGGCCAATCTTCGGTTCATTACAGGACGCACTGGCTTGAAAAACCAGGGTCGTCACAAACATGCCCTTAGTTATCTGAAAATGTAGTTTTCAGAATTATAACTACACCAAATCTAAGGGCATGTTTGGTTTAGTTTTCTAATAATAATTTTTTATTTTTTGAGATTTTTTTTTCCTTTATTTTTTGAGAATTGAAAATCAGAATATTGTACAAAAACTTATTTGGTAGATAATTTATGAGACCTGTTCTATGAAACTCATTTAAAAAAAGGCTTGTTTTCATATAACAATCTTTTATATTATAATTCTTTTACAAGATGATTCTTTCTTTTTTTATTAACACCTTTGTTTGTTTGTTTGTTTTAAAAAAAAAGTTATAAATCTCTGATTTTTTTATGTTATTTTATTCTTTCTAACTCTTGGTAACAATCTGACTTAGAAAGAAGAATTTTTGTTTTTAATTAAATACAAAGAAATAAGAATAAAGTTTAAAAATCATATATATATATTTATTTTATTTTAATCCGTTTAAAAAAAATATAACAGATTTGCTGTGATAGCCATAGTTGTAACTACGTCAACCATAATTGAAAAAATTTAATAAAAAATGGAATAAAAGGAGTTTGGATAACCATATATACAATTATTGTAGGACAGTTTGTCACGAGAGAACTTGAAATGTCCAACTCATACAAATGTGAGAAAGTATATATTTTGGAATCTGGAATGGGGCAGGGACAATAAAATATTAAGTTTATCATCTGATTTCAAATTCTAGAATTAAGGTTACAAATGAATCAACTTGTTCATAAATAACGCTATACGAACTTGCTTAAAATTTAGTTCCGACTTATTTATTAGATATATGAATTTAATTTTAAGCTGATTTAATAAATAACTTAATTTTAAATATTGTTAGACTCAGGTTATATAACGAGTTATAACGATAATATATTCGGTGTGTCCGGTGCACCATGTACTGAATCATCAGAGCAGTTTGTTTCCGCGCATGTTATGCACCGATGGCTATGATGTGTCTGACGCATGATGAACCGAACACGCTAAATATCTACTCCTTCTGTTCTCACTTGTGTGACTTAGCTAATAGGTTGATAAAACTGAAAATTTTAAGTATTGAAGTTTTTGAGTGTTAATTAAAAAATAAATAATAAATATTTTTTTGATATTTTTATGAATTTACAGTGTTTAGCATTCAATGATAAATGATGTTCCTATCACTTAAAATTTTATTCTATTTTAAGTGGCGCTTACCATTTTTAGTGATATAAATTACGTTATCAAATGCATTTAATTGAATAAGCACTTAATCTATTCAGAATTAAGTACTGAATTGAATAATCATTCAACACTGATGTTGTTTGATAAAATTGAAAATTAAGTATTGAAATTTTTAAGAGCTGAATTTTAAAGTACCGAAGTTTTTAAGTGGTAATTAAAAAATAAATATTTTTTTATTTTCTTTTGAATTTTCAGTGTTCAACATTTAGTGATAAGTGATGTCTCGGTCATTTAAAATTTTACCTCATTTTAATGTGCTGTTTGATAAAGTGAAAATTAAGCGTGAAAATTTCAAGTACTGAATTTTAAGCACTTAAATTTTAAGTGTTGAATGTATTAATCTAAAAACTTGTTTGATATTGTATTAATTTTAAATGTTGAATTCATTAAGATTGTTTGATAATTGTAAAAGCTGAAATCTGAATGTTGTATATATTACATTTTTGTCTTGAATGTCTTTTACATATTATAACACAAATATAAATTAATGAATTTTAGCAAAGAAATATATCAATTTAGCAATAAATGTTAGTGTCAAAACTAATTATAAAAATTCCAAAATCAAAATATAAAATAAATAACTTATGAAAATAAAATATTTATGAAAAGAAGAATTTACGCACAAATCATTCAATTTTTATTTATACAATAGTTTTGCATCATAACAATGGTAAGAGAGACATTATATGACTGTTGATTATAAATTTGAGTGAACCATGCAGTATATATATATATATATATATATATATATATATATATCTTGTTGAATATTATTTGTATTTATATTATTATTTGAAATTTATGAGAAATGGGAGTAAACTAAAAACAAAAATACATAATCAACCCAAGGAGGGAATAGAATGCAAAGGGCCCATAGATTTAATTTGGGATGTGACAAAAAAAAAATGTTGGTATTTTATAGGAGGGAGTACAGACAAGTGTAGGTGAACCTCCTAAATAAATAATATTTGAGGGCAAATTTGTCATTAATAAAATATTTTAAAACTTAAAATCAATTATTTCTGTTTTTGGCGTTAAGTAAGGTTTGGGTCACTTAAAAATTTGGCCTGATTTAAAAAAATCGTATTTTGTGTTAAGTGCCGAATAGTAGTATCAAACAGGGCTAAGTGATGCTTACCATTTTCAACAATATTAAATGTGTGTTATCAAACACACTTAATTGGATAAGTGCTGAATACATTTAGAATTAAGCATTGAATTGAGTAATTATCGAATTGAATAATCATACAACACCCGGTGTTGTTTGATAAAATTGAAAATTAAGTAATGAGAATTTTAATTTTTTTTTTTTTTTTTTTAATTTTAACATTCAGCAATAGATAATGTATCTTATCTGTTATTTAAAATTTTATCTTATTATAAGGGTTTGTTTGGTTAGCGTCAACTAATTAGAAAGGAAAAGAAACGGAAATTTTTTAAATTGTTTTGTAGTTTAGTTAGCATGAAAAGGAAAATTTTTAGGAAAGTGATATTCTCGTAACTGGTTCATTTTCCTCAAAATGTTTTTTCTATAAAACACGTGAAAATTTTAGTTATCCGTGAAAATTGTATCATTATATGTTATTTTCTAATTATACCTTTGTCAGTTATTTATCTTCCTTTCTTAGACTCACAAAAGGAGCAGACTTCTTTTTTTATAAATTAGGACTCCTAATTATATTATAACTTTCTAACCCTTTAAATTAGAACTCTTAATTAAGTTACAATTTTCTAAATCTTTAAATTAGGACTATATATATATATATATATATATATATATATATATATATGCATGCACATATATTTTTATTCATAAAACAATTATTTATATTTTTTATTACACTTGTTGCATGATGTATATTGGTTAGTATTGAATTCTTAAGAATAGTTTTGACATATAAATCATTTTTTTTTCACTTTTTTTGCTAACCAAACTAATGAAACAACATTTCTTCATAAAAGTTTTACAAAAAAATCATACTAATCAAATACATAATAGAAATATAATTTTTTCTTCTTTCACTTTACTATTTTTTTCCTTTCACTTTCTATCAGTAATTTCCGGTTAACCAAACGAATTCTAAATCTATTTTCAGCGTATTAAAGGTGTCATTTAAAATTTTACGGATTCCTATTTTCAGCATATTAAAAATGCGAATTGGATAAGAGGTAAGTACATTCAGAATTTATGCTGAATTGAGTAATTAAAAAACACCATTTTATCTTTTTTTCTTTGGCAACCGCTACCACTTTGTGGCTTTGCTATTCACAATTTTAAGGTAAAAGCAAGTGCGGCAGCTCACCGTGTGGCACTCTCGTGTTAGGATTTTCCACTCTGCAAAACAACGTGTATTTGACAGTTGGTGAGCTAGGACCTCTTGTCGTCTCTCTTCTGATTTCGATAGTTTCTATGCATAAGCCCTAAAACCAGTACAGATTGATCACAGAAACCCCTACGATTGCTCTGAAATCCATTGAACTCGAACGTAGCAGACCGAACAAACGCCCAAGAAGTCATGCTAAACGATAGTGGAGAGACTCCTAATAGGTACGAATTCGTTCTATTCCATTCTCGTTTTCAATTCATCTCTGAATAAATTCAGTGTATGTGAATTGCAATTGTGATGTTATTTATCAAATTTGTAAATATAACAATCTATCATTGTCATAGAATAAATTTCTTTCTAATAAAGATGAGTATTCATGATTGCTAATTGGGCTAAATTAAAAGCACTGTTTATTGGTGAATTATTATTATTATTTTAAAATTTTTTTTTTCTTTCCTTTTTTAGATGTTATTTTTTATTTATTTTTGTTTTTCTGAACTGTTTGTTTGACAGGCATGAGTTGTTGACTATGGTGAAGAAGCACTCAAAGTTATTAGGGAAAACCATAGTAGATGAGCAAGATGCTTCAGATGTTGAAATGAATCAACGTTTTTGGCACGACATCATGAATCTATATTTCATTTGTGGTAAGGAGTCAAGGGGACGCCAGGATGATGATCTAATTTTCTTTGTCAGAAAAATGGTATGCTCTTTTCTTTTTTCGGATGCATGATGTAGTAATTCCATGGTCTCTGTTTATGATTGCACATAATTATATATTGAATGGTATTTCATTTTTGTTATTCATATTTTTTCTTGTAAACCATATTTGACGAATTAACGTTGTTGCAGAGTTTGCATGGATATGGTTTCAATGATAATATGGAAGGCAATTCTCCTTACTTTGTACGCAGGTGGGCACCTAAGGTAATCGCAGCATGAATACCAGTTAAAGCTTTTAGCTTTTATATGTTGAAATAACTTCACATGTTGAGAACTGAATTACTTGATTCATTGATGTGATTATCTTCTTTTTTTTTTTTTTTTTTTTTTTTTTTGTTGAATAAAATTTTATTAAAAATCGCTAAAAAAGGGAGCAGATCCCAAGAAAAATACAAAAGACCACAAAGGCCTCAAGCCTTCAAGGAGACCAAAAAGTCAACAATCTCCTCCAACGAACTATGATCTCTCCCTGAAACCCAACAAAAAAGAGTGGAAAGAATTGAGAATTTAAGCACCGAAATCAACATCGCCTTTCCTTCAAAATATCTCCTATTCCTTTTAAGCCAAATACACTACCACACACAAAGCGGCGTAGCCCTCCACGCATCCTGACAATGAGCCCCTACAGGGCAACCTCTCCACGTCTCAATCAACCCTCTAGCGGAACCTGGCATAACCCAAGAAAAACCAAATAAGCCAAGCATCAAATCCCAACACTCTCTAGCCAAAGAGCAATGAATGAGAAGGTGATCCACTGATTCCTCATCACGAAGACACATATAACAACGATTGACCACCACCTGGCTTCTCCTTCTCAAATTATCCTGAGTTAAGATCCTTCTCAGAACCGAAGTCCACACAAAGAAAGCCACCTTAAGAGGAGCCTTAGAACGCCAAACAGACTTCTAAGGGAAATGAACTCCAGGATCAAACGAGAGACACCTGAAGAAAGACCTCACCTCAAACCGCCCTTGGGAGTTTCCAACCCATGACCAACGATTTGAATCCTCCTCCACAATCCTCTAGCAATACAACAGCTCCAAGAAACGAATGGCCTCCTCGATCTCCCAGTCCTGAAAGAAACGCCCGAATCGAACATCCCAAACCAATCTTCTAATATCAAGATGATAACAGTTAACCACCATGGCCTGCCTATCCGAAACAATCCTGTAAAGCTGAGGAAAAGCGAGGGCGAGAGAAACATCACCACACCACACATCCTCTCAAATATAAATCCTACTCCCATCTCTAAGACGAAACCGAATGTGTTTGGAAAAATCATCCCAACCCTTCCGAATAAATTTCCAGACCCCCACCCCCTGAGGTTCCCTTACTTCCAGAGAACTCCACCTTCCTCTCATCTTCCCAAAACGACAAGCCACAACCCTCCTCCAAAACCAATTTCTCTCCACCCCAAACCTCCACAACCATTTCCCAAGGCCTTATTAAAAGGCACCAATCTACGGAGACCCAACCCACCATTCCGAATTGGCCTGCAAACCTGATCTTAAACTCTTCACCTCTACACCCCCACAGAAAATTACGCTGCAACCTCTCAATCTTCTCTGCTACTGAAGAAGGAATCTGAAAAAGAGAGATAAAATAAGTGGGAAGGCAAGAGAGAGTGCTCTTAATCAGAGTGACCTTGCCTCCCTTATCTTACAACTCTAGCTTAGTTAATTACTCTGACAGTGTGTACATGTCACTAGTTTACTTTGATTCATGATGGATAATGTGTTTACTATCATAATTAGATATGTTTTCAACAAATATTATAAAAAAATATTAACTAATATAGGAAACAGTAGTACTCTGTTTCTTCCATAAAAACACACGGATAAAATCCAATTGGCTGATAATATGTTAAAATGTCTGTGATACCTAATAAGATTTCTAGTTAAGGACAAAAGGGTGTAAATTCCAATTGAATTTTCAAAATTTTTGGATTTTGACGGCAAAAAATGAGTACAAGAAGGATTGGGTATGTTTGGGTTTTTTGACCTTTCCCTTCAAAGTTGGCTTCCAAAGGTAAAAGCATGAAAGAGCTCAAATTAAGGTTCGTTACAAACATTGAGGGACATTTTTTTTTGATGTTTTTGAATTTACTATTTATGGGAAGGCAATATCAAAAGGGTTTTATGGAAATTTGGGAGACCAAATTTTTTTCCTCCACCTATTCACAAGCTCACAATATAGGAAGGCATACTCTTAAGGTTTCACTTCTCTCTCTCTTGGGGAAGGTAAGTGTGACGTCCACATCACCGGGGAGGGAGAGGTTCTTGGCACTTATGTGCGGGGACACCTCCCAATTATGTAGATGTGCTTTGAAAACTGTGAGTACGGAGAGTGTGCAAAGTGGACAATATTTATACATGCTGGGCGGGTTGTGATAGATGGTATCAGAGCCAATCCCTAGCTGGAGATAGGGGGAGCGATGAGAGTCACTCCAGGCCTCCTAGAGGGGGTGATTGTGACGTTCCACATCGCCGGGGGGGAGAGGTTCTTGGCACTTATATGTGTGGACGCCTCCCAACTGTGTAAACGCATTTGGGCGGGTTGTGACAAAAATGTAGGTGTGTTTGCGTGCGCGCGCCCCGGGGGGGGGGGGGGGGGGTTGTTTGGGGCATGTTAATTATTTTTTAATTAGGAAGTTTACAAAATACATGGGGAGACAGTCCCCGAACCTCAAGTACCATAAGAGTTCCGCCTCTAATTGTATGTTATTGTCAGCACTCGTATGCCTATATCTTGGATGCATTAATTCTGCTCTTAGCACTGTTTTCATCGAATTTTTTCTGGTTTAATATTAGTTGAAATATATTCACTTTTTAAGTTTTTGATAAAATTGTTGAAAATGATACATTAATTTAATAATTGATTTTATGATACCTTTGCATAGTGATTGTAATGTAAGCTAACCTCTACTGTTCATTAAGATCACTATGTTTTATACTTTTTCACCAGTTGGATAAGTTAGTAGATGAGAATTCAGTAGATGTGGATTGGAGGCGCTCGTTTTACTTGAACTTAATTGCCCACACCTCATTCAGCGTAACAGTAGCAATTTGCAGGTAGATTACCTTTTCTTTTCTGTTGCATAATGTATTTGTACTTGCTCATGACAACCTTTTGTTTTCTACATGTGTGTCATTTTATCTCATTGTTTTAGCAAAGTAAAATCATACACCAAAGGAGCCAATAAGGGTGCCATGATGTACACTTGTACATTCTTTTACCTTCTTTCTTTGCTGAGCAATCATGTTGATGTGCATGTTTGGGTTGTTTACTCTTATTTATGGCATGGTACCCTTATTCAGGGTTTGAAGGCTGCCCCAGACAAGAAAGATAAGTATGCAGTGCCAGGTTCTTTATGAGATAACTTATAGGGATCTCAGATTGCTTTAAAAAGTAGAGTGCAAACTAAGTTCTCTAGTTCTAATTTAGCAAGTCAGAGAGCCATGAATTTTGAAGTTTGGCATGCAAGCCTTCTGTTATACTCCTAGATCATAGTCCTTGTTCTTTATCTAATAAACTTGATACATCCAGTATCCGAAGCTAATCATTCATGCTTGTTTTAGATTTCAGGGCACTTTTCAACTGCTACTGAGATTTTATACCCCTAATATTGGAAACCACATTTTAACTAGACTAGAATTTTCCTTCCTTTTCCGCTTGATTTTTTTGTTAACATAAAATAAGATCTCTGATCCAATCTTCTATGAATCTCTGATCTTTGGTTGAGGCAGCAAGATCCCATTCAAGCCGTGTACATGCTGTAAGATTGTGTACTCTAATAAAAGGTCTTTGGACCTACTTTGATGGTTCATTTGGTTTTGTTGGAGAAAATTTGTGCTCAAGTCTATTGTCATCCAAGAATTTACAAGGTTCCTCCTTTTTTTAACTCTGAATGGAGAAAGGTTGAGATAATCAAGCTTTGATTTTAGAGCAACTGTAGCTTTATATTGAACACTTCCAAGGAATGTTTGGTGTTTGGGATAATTATGATTATAGGGAATAAGCCAGAGATGTTTCATAATAACATTGAGTGGGGAATGCACGTCAGGAAGAAAGTATTATAAATTGTTGTTATGAAAGTATTTGCAATAACTTTGGAATATGGCAACTGATTGGTTAATTGCACTACCTGTGTGTGTGTGTGTGTGTTAATAATTATGAATATAAGTGAAGAGGAGGGGGTTTTGGAAGCAATGCATGTAAATGTTCTGAGGTCTGTTATAATTAAAGTTGTGGGTTTTTAAAAATTCTGAGAGTTGGCATGATATTCCCTTCATGGTTTTATCTTAGTTTGAGGGGTCTAGCATCTGCACCATAAAAAAAAGGGTAATGTAACATTGTTTTTTTTAGGTTGAAAAAGATGTTAAATGATAATATTCATAAATATAAAAGGAGTTCAATATATATGATATTTATCTTGCTTACGCCCTACCTTTGTGCATGCTAATTTTGAATGTTCTTTCTGAATACTATATGACTTTTGGATGTCATCCTTTTCTTCTTCTTTTTTTATTTATTTTTTATGATAACTTTTTCTTTTAAATCATCAGAAAGAAAAGAAATATTTATTGGTTATGCTGTGCAATACTCTGCCATTAATTTTTTTTCTCTCTTTTGTGTGGCTTCGTAACTCCATTTTTGTAAGCAGAAAAATGTTGTGTTTTCAGTCACCAGGTCCTTCGAAATCATCAGACTGGCCATGACAAACCATTGTCTTCTATATACAAGGTATCTGCAGTTTACTATGTGATTTTAGTAGTTAATATATCTAAAAATACCAGATGGGAAGATGTGTTTTATGTTATTTCTCATCCTTTTCTTCTGTGTTTTAAAATGTTATAAACATCTACTCCAGCATATAGCAGGGAAATTTAAAGAAGAAAATGAAAAACATAAGCAGAAATTTAATAAGGTAATCAAGAAGCAAGCTTATATAGGAAAGGATGCACTGAAATTTATGCATGTGCTCTGACATTCTTGCTCATTTATACTTCTGGTCACGTGTCTTAAAACAGTTAATTACAGGTTGTACAAGAGTAGGAGGTACAGGTTTTTAGGGGGACTATAAATATTAAATGTTTTTGGTGTTAAAAAATTTTACTCAAATTATTATTGGCATTTTTACTTGGTATTATGATGGTCATAAAACCAAGACTCTGCAACTCTGGAACTCCTCATTGTCATCCTTCTCATCTATTGGTGGTTGACGGACTTCCCTTATTACCTTATGACTAAGAAATGAGTGGGAGTCCATGGTACCTTCTCTAAAAATTTGTGAGTATACAAGGGAAGATATCAAACAAGCACAAATTTAAGCCAATAAATCAGCTAAGGAATCACTATCATTCAAACAAAAAAATAAAGAACAAAAGCAATCAAACAAGCCCAAGTGGTCACTTGGTAGAAGTCTACATACTATTTATAGAATCTAGGACAAATCCCTAATTAGGATTTAATTTCTATTAGTTCGAACCCTCCATGATATAATAATTGAAAGATGAACTAAAGAAACACTGCTTCGGTATCAGTATCTGCTACAGGAGTATGAATACTATTTTACAGTATCATGAAGAGTAATGTTACAATATGAAAAGTAAATCTTGAAAGAAATTTAGTAAAATTAGAACTTCAAATATAAAGTATTAGGATTTTCTCTTGTTTGTTTCTTTGGTCTGACTCTGACCTCCATAAGTTGAAGTGCTATAGCCAATATCAATTGGAAATGTGTCGTTGTAATAAATCCTTACTGGATTTTATCACTCTTCAGAATCCTTGGACTTGAGGGGTGATGTGAGATAAATTAGATAAGATATGTCTCAATACGTGGTTAAGTTGTCTTCCTACCTACTCCATTTTTGTAGCTGGAAGAAGCATGTTGTGACTAACTGCCTTGTGATATGTAATGTGCAAGCGACCTTTTCTGATTAGACCAAGTTGGCTGCCGCGATTAAGGTTTTGGGATCCTCAGAAGGCTGTACTGCAACTACACTTCACATCAAATGAGTTTAATCCTGTGTTCACGGTAGCAAGACTACACTCTCTTGCAGGCTCTCACACCTTTGTGAATTAATTTATTTTACCGTTTGCTTTGTTTGGAGTTACATCTAATAGTAAGTTATGATCATATTTGATCTGAAACACTGCATTCAGCTCTCAGAGTTGTGAAAATATGTCCTTGATAAGCTAGTTTGATATTATTTGTATCCTAACATTGTACTCCTTGAACTATGCTGATGATGATTGACAAACTTGCTCATTAACAAGTTTTTTCTCCATGGTTGGTCAAATTCTTATTTTTCACAAAAACACTCAGTTGATTGATTGGATGATAGTCTCTGATGTGCTCCTTGCTTTGATTTGCTTAATCACATAGAGTATGGTGTTCTATATAAACCCTATATTGGTTCACAAAGCTCTCTCTAAAAGATATATAAAATCTCTCAATAAGTAAAAGGCATGCCCTACACTGGCGATAGCCCCATATTTATAGCCAATATAGTAGTCCTTATAAGAAAATTAAATCAATTAAATTTTTTTTGATTTTCGAAAGTTCCAAAACAATTTAGCACCATTCGATTGAATCTTTGGCAAGTTTGATTGGTCTAACTAACTCATGGGACCTTCGAGGATAAGCCCATCTGGATCAATCGATCGTAGCTCATTGGATTGAGTGATGTTCTATCGATCCAAGCTCTCTATTTTTCAATTTTAAAATCCGTTCAGAATTTTAATCAATCCAACACAAGTTCGATTGAATATTGATTCAAGCCTTCTAAAGATTCAAACCAGGGTCATGGGAGGTCCAACTATCTAGTGAATAATTCCAATCTCTAGATTCTTGTATTCGCTACCTTAATCTAAATATGTGATTGAGTTTGATGAATTTTCGACACGTTCTTCTTTATGCTTCAACTTCTGCACTTTTGATATCATTAGCGGTTGATAGGTAAATTTACACACACAGACGTGCCCCACTAGGGCTTGGCCTCAACCTTTCCGAAGGGAGGTGGAGGATATGCTATTCAGGCAAGGTTTTGTTGGTTGAGACAAGAAATGTGGTTTAATCTTACAACCTTAATTTTGTTTTGGAATTTTCCAATACATAACTCATTAATCTAACTCCCATACCATGCTTGCCCAATATATTTCTTAAATGGTGCTTGCGAAATTTGTTGTAAGGGAAAGTATTGTACTTAATAGGTAAATTTACACACACAGACATGCCCCACTAGGGCTTGGCCTCAACCTTTCCGAAGGGAGGTGGAGGATATGCTATTCAGGCAAGGTTTTGTTGGTTGAGACAAGAAATGTTGTTTAATCTTGCAACCTTAATTTTGTTTCGGAATTTTCCAATACATGACTCATTAATCTAACTCCCATACCATACTTGCCCAATATATTTCTTAAATGGTGCTTGTGAAATTTGTTGTAAGGGAAAGTATTGTACTTAATAGATGCACCGATTGATCAATTTGGTGTCTGTTTTTGTACCACCTGTGACCTGTCATACCTTGGTTTCTTGCACATTTACACGACCTTCTTCTTCCTCAGGTTATTGATGCTTATTTAATGACTTTGAGTTTGTTCTGCCAAATATGATGTATTTGATTTAACTTATAAAAAAAAAAAAAAAAAAAGATGTATCTGATTTAATTTGGAAACTGTTTATATTCTTTCTATTTAAGCACCATTTTCCATGTTGGAATGGGTAACTTGTTCTTTTCAGGACATGTTGGCAGTTGTTTATCACATTTAAGGAATTTTTTTTTTTTTTTTTTTTTCTCAACTCTATGTCAAACCTCATCTATATGTGGCACCAACATCTGCATCAATTTATTTGTTTATTGTTGTCTCCTAGTTGCTTGATTAAATTGGATGCAAAACTGAGTGCATCAATGATTGTTTGAAGTATGGCCATGGGTTCCTCTCCAGGTTGTGAAGACTGTTTATGCATCCCCAAGTCGTGTTGATTTCCACTTGGACTCAACGAAGGCAAGTGTTCTGCTATCAACAAGACTAGAGTTCCTTTATTGTTTTTATTTCCTCACATTTATTTGACAGCGTCACTGATACGTATACAGGAAGTAGAAACAACACCTGCCTATCCAGATATATGTTTTGCAGTTGATGACTTTGATTCCACATTTGATGCAGTGGTAATATGTTTATTCTTTAACATGTATTATGTATAGAAGTAACTTGTATCTGGTCCTTTTAGCTTAATTCGACTTTGTTTTTGTAATGGGTTGGGTGCACACCAATTTGAGTGAGGAAGTGGGTCAGAAATGGGCACCCTGCTAGACTGGAGGTTTGGCAAGCATGCAACACTTTAAATGCCTCGTTTGGTAACAAGCCCACACTACTAGGACCGGGCCCAAAAAGAGTGCACAGAGTACTGATATAACCAAAAAATAATAATAATAATAATAATTGATTTTCTTTTTGTGATTGGGCTTTTAAGTTTTGACATTTACAATTTTGATGGCTTCACAAGTCACCTGAGAATGATGTTTAAAATATAGCAAGTTTCATGTAACTAGCCTGTTTGCCATATTTTCAAGTAGTTTTGATCAATTCACAATCCAGCAAGCATAGCTTAGTCTGCTCAATATTAAGTGCATGGAAGACACTCCTTTTATTAGCACAGCTCATGCAACTTAGGAAAAACTGTCTTGTTTTGAATTTATTAAACTGCACAGAGTACTCATATAACAATAAAAGCTGATTCCAGGTAGGATCAGTAAAAAGCAGCAGTGTTGTTCTTCTCATGCATATCTTTTCTCATGATTTCCTTTTCTCTTGTGGACTTTGCCGGTGGAGGGAAAGGGGGTTGGGTTGGGGTAGAGTTGTTGATAGAGAACAGTGGCAGCAGCCTTTTAAGGTATATAAAAGGCGTGGCAAGGAGGGTTCTAAGGCTCAAACCTTAATTTGGCACATGCTAGACGATGGGTCCACTTGGAGTCTTGCATAATTAGGGGGATTTGGTCAAATTGCATAATTATGGTAGCTTGCATCAATTTCCATCAAATTATATCCGTCCATAGTAATTACTTTTATTATGCTAGAGTCAAATATTGATTACCTCAATTACGGGGTGATTACTTTTATTATGCTATAGAGTCAACTTTTGATTACCTTAATCATGGGATAATCTGAGGGTCATAAGTTGCTATAAGAAGGGTATGATGTAAACTTGCTGAGTCAGTCAAGGAATGAATAAAAATATCTTTGAGATTTCTTTGTGAGTGATTCACAATTTGTGAAGGTGTGAGGCCTTCTCTAGGTGTGATACCTGGACCTGTTGGTGTGATTCCAGTAGGTTTTTGTTGTTTTCAATCCTTTCTCTCTACTAATATTTTGAACCATAGCTCTGTTTATTTTAATTAATAACCACTTCTCCTTTGGTTTTCTACATTTCTACTATCAAACCTCCAAATTTCTGCCCTAGTTCTTGAACTTTCAGACTCTGAATTCTTTGAGTTCTTAGCTATTTAAGGCTGCTCTCTTGTCCTACATCAGTTTTTGGTATCAGAGCTTGAGTTGACATCATGTCGACACAATCAGGAAATGAAAGATCGGGTATTAATCAGCAAGATGAGCTGATATCTAAGCTTGTGGAGCAGCTCAATGGGTTGAATGTCCGATTCAATGAGTTAGAAGCTCGAATGTGTCAGCCTATTAACAATTTTGCTCCTGCTGCATCCAGTACAAATGATGGCAGTGGTCGAGAGCAACAACATCCTTTAAATATGCAGCAAAGGCAGAATGTGAGGGCTGATCCACCACCACACCAAATGTTCGAGTTTTCGAGAAATCTGTTGGGAATGAATTATCATGTGCCACATGATAACGCTGGGGATATCACAAAGAAAATTAAAATGGAGGTGCCAGATTTTGAAGGTAAGGTTGATCCTACTATATTTTCGGATTGGCTTGCTTCGATTGAAGAATATTTTAATTGGTATGATATGAATGATGATCGTAGAGTGAGATTTGCTAGAATGAAGCTTGTGGGCCTAGCAAAAATATGGTGGACTGGTGTTGAAGGGGATATTAGGAGGCTGGGACAACCACTAATCAGCACATGACAAGAAATGAAGGCAAAGCTTCGAGAGAAATACATGCCGGCCAATTACCATGACAAACTGTGTGATCAACTTATCAATTTAAAGCAGGGCAGCCTGTCAGTCGCAGAATATATGCAAAGATTTGATGAGTTAAAGACTAGAAGTCAAGTTGTGGAAGACCCGCGGCAAACACTTGCAAGATTCAAGGCTGGTCTAAGGTCTGATATCAGAAGGGAATTGCTTCGCCAGTCATTATATGGTGTTGAACATGCTTTTCAGGTTGCACTGGACATGGAGGAATACTTGAGTTATCAAACGGCTCGAAGATCTGGATATCAAACCTGGGATGCAGCACCCAAGAAGTCCAGTGATGGAAATCGCAGCACACAATCAGTACCAACGCAGCCGACTGGTGGAAATGCTGGATCAAAACTGCCCTTTTCTAACATGGCTGATCCTAAAGGGAAGAGTATTGTGGCCAACAAAGGTAGTGGAAGGAGTAACAAGTGCTTCAAATGTGGAGAAACAGGTCACATGGCATACCAATGTCCAAAGAAAAATTTACACATTGGGATAATGCCTGAAGAAGAGCCTGAAGAACATGGGGGAGAGGACAATGGGAACATGTTTGACTATGGGATCTACAACCCTGATGATTTAGAAGAGGATGAAGATGTTCCATCAATCTCCGTTATGAGGCACATCCTTGCAGCCCCTAAAGTTGAAGATGAAGATTGGCGGCGCACATCTATTTTTCAAATGCTAGTTCGTTGTGGAAATCAAGCTCGAAAGGTCATTATTGATGGCGGAAGTTGCATGAATGTTGTGTCTGCAGCCATTGTTGAGCGCCTCAAGCTTTCAGTCCAACCACATCCACAACCATTCAAAGTGGCGTGGATAGATAGTACTTCTATTCCGGTAACTCAACGTAGTCTCGTTTCTTTCTCTTGTGGAGCTTATAATGATTCTGTTTGGTGTGATGTAATTCCCATGAAAGTGACACATATTCTTCTTGGGCGGCCTTGGATTTATGATCGAGATGTGTATCATTGTGGGAAGGAGAATACATACACTTTCTTGTTTAACAACAAGCAAATTATTTTGAAGCGTATGTCCTCAGCTGAAATGGAGAAATATAAAGGTGGACAGGCTGTAGATGATGCGAAAAACAAGAAAAAGCCCCTCAATCTCCTTTCCAAGAAGAGGTTTCAATTGGAAAGTAAAGAGATGGGTGTTGTATATGCTGTTGTAGCAAGGGAAATCAAAGAAACTGCTGCTGTTCATGATTCTTCAATGCCATCAGAGGTCGCCAATTTGCTGTCAGATTTCTCAGATTTATCTCCTGAAGATCTCCCTAATGAACTCCCTCCTCTACGTAATATCCAGCATGCGATCGACTTGGTACCGGGATCTCCATTGCCTAACCTTCCAGCTTATCGTTTGAATCCAAGCGAGCATGCCGAGCTTCTGAGGCAAGTTAATGAGCTGCTGTCCAAAGGATTTATCCGGGAAAAGCTTAAGTCCTTGTGTTGTCCCAGCTTTGCTCACACCAAAGAAGGATGGTAGTTGGCGCATGTGTATTGACAGTCGCGCCATCAACAAGATTACAATCAAGTATCGGTTTCCTATTCCTCGAATCGATGATTTGCTAGACATGGTGGCTGGTTCTTGTATATTTTCAAAGATAGATCTGAAAAGTGGCTACCATCAAATTCGCATAAGGCCCGGGGATAATGGAAGACAGCTTTCAAGACAAAAGATGGACTCTACGAGTGGCTTGTTATGCCATTTGGTCTTTCCAATGCCCCTAGGACATTCATGCGCTTCATGACTCAGATATTGCGGCCCTTTATTGGTCGTTTTCTGGTTGTTTACTTAGACGATATTTTAATCTACAGCAAAACGAGGGAGGAACATATTTCCCACCTTCAACAAGTTATGAGAGTTCTCCGCCAAGAGCTTTACATGAACTTGAAGAAGTGTTCCTTCATGTTGCCGAGTGTGGTGTTTTTGGGCTTTGTTGTTTCTTCCAAAGGGGTAGAAGCTGATCCTGATAAAGTGAAAGCAATTCTAGATTGGCCAATTCCCAGCACATTGCAGGAAGCACAGAGTTTTCATGGGCTAGCTTCATTCTATCGGCGATTTATTAGAAATTTCAGCACAATAATGGCCCCTATCACCAATTGTATGAAGAACAGCCAGTTTGTTTGGACAAAGGCAGCAGCAGAGGCTTTCGAAGAAGTGAAGAAAAGAATGACTGCAACTCCTATTTTACGCCTTCCAGACTTCTCAAAAGTGTTTGAAGTTGCATGTGATGCTTCACAAGTCGGAATTGGAGGCGTACTCAGTCAAGAAGGACATCCGGTTACATATTTTAGTGAGAAACTTAATGAAGCAAAGCAAAGGTATTCCACTTATGACAGAGAATTTTACGCTGTGATTCAAGCACTTCGCTACTGGCGTCATTACCTTCTTTTTAGGGAGTTCGTTTTGTATTCTGATCACGAGGCCCTCAAATGCCACCGACATGGGAAGTGGGTTTCATTCTTGCAAGAGTACTCATTTGTCATCAAACATAAAGCTGGTGTTGAGAACAAGGCAGCCGATGCACTTAGCCGAGTTGTTCATATTCTTGCCTCCATGGCTGTTCAAGTTCTTGGTTTCGATATGCTTAAACGAGATTTCTTATCTTGCACGGACTTTAGCATCATACATGCTGATTTGATAGCTGGACAGCAGGGTACATATCCTGATTATTCGGTACATGATGGTTATCTCTTCAAAGGAACTCAACTTTGTTTGCCTAAGACGTCTCTTCGTGAACATGTGATATGGGAGTTGCATGCTAGTGGGGCAGCAGGTCATTTTGGAAGAGATAAGACCATTGCCATGGTGGAAGATCATTTTTTTTGGCCAAGTTTGAAACGGGATGTGGCCAAAATTGTTTCTCATTGCAGAACTTGTCAAATATCCAAGGGAAGAAAGAAAAATACAGGTTTATATACGCCACTCCCAGTCCCTCATGAGCCGTGGCAAGATTTAAGCATGGACTTTGTTCTTGGGTTGCCTAAAACAAGTCGCAGTCATGATGCTTTATTTGTTGTTGTGGATCGTTTTTCAAAAATGGCACACTTCATTCCTTGTTCCAAGACATCCGATGCTGTCCACATTGCCAAGCTTTTCTTTCAAGAAGTTGTTCGGCTTCATGGATTGCCAAACACCATTGTTTCTGATCGAGATACAAAATTTATAAGTAATTTTTGGCGCACATTATGGAAGATGCTGAATACAAGGCTGTAGTTTTCCTCTTCTTTTCACCCCCAAACTGACGGCCAAACTGAGGTTATTAATCGCAGCTTGGGTGATTTGCTTCGCTGTCTTGTTGGTGACCATATTAGTAGCTGGGACCAGATTCTTCCTATGGCTGAATTTGCCTACAACAGTTCTGTAAACAGATCCACAGGGCGAAGCCTGTTTGAGATTGTGACAGGTTTATGTCCTCGGAAACCAATTGACTTAGTTCCTTTACCAATTGTGGCACGCCCTAGTGCTGAAGCTGATGCTTTTAATAAGCATATCAGAGACATCCATGCAGAAGTTCGAAGGAAGATTGCACTGAGCAATGAGACTTACAAAACACAAGCTAATTTGCGGAGGAAGATTACTGAATTTGAGGAAGGAGATATGGTTATGGTGCGAATAAGACCGGAACGATATCCTAAAGGTGCTTATAAGAAGCTTCACGCAAAGAGTGCTAGCCCATACAAAGTTCTCAAGAAAATTAGCTCCAATGCTTATGTTCTTGACCTACCAGAAGAGATGGGTATCAGTAAAGTCTTCAACATTGAAGATCTCACCTTGCATTCAGGCCATTTTGCTGATCCATTTCTTGTTGATCCTACCACTCGCCTTCCCCCAGCCCCACATGTAAAGGAGGAAATAGAAGATGTTGTTGATCATCAACTTGTTTCAACAAGGGCTGGCGGTTATCAAAAATTCCTCGTTAAGTGGAAAGGACGGCCACTTTCTGATTGTAGATGGATTAGCGACAGTGAGTTCCAACATCTAGCTCTAGACCTCTATGAACAATTTCATGCATTTACCTCGCCGGGGTCGAGTTTTTCCAAGCCAGGGAGAATTGATAGAGAACAGTGGCAGCAGCCTTTTAAGGTATATAAAAGGCGTGGCAAGGAGGGTTCTAAGGCTCAAACCTTAATTTGGCACATGCTAGACGATGGGTCCACTTGGAGTCTTGCATAATTAGGGGGATTTGGTCAAATTGCATAATTATGGTAGCTTGCATCAATTTCGATCAAATTACATCCGTCCATAGTAAATACTTTTATTATGCTAGAGTCAAATATTGATTACCTCAATTACGGAGTGATTACTTTTATTATGCTATAGAGTCAACTTTTGATTACCTTAATCATGGGGTAATCTGAGGGTCATAAGTTGCTATAAGAAGGGTATGATGTAAACTTGCTGAGTCAGTCAAGGAATGAATAAAAATATCTTTGAGATTTCTTTGTGAGTGATTCACAATTTGTGAAGGGTGTGAGGCCTTCTCTAAGTGTGATACCTGGACCTGTTGGTGTGATTCCAGTAGGTTTTTGTTGTTTTCAATCCTTTCTCTCTACTAATATTTTGAACCATAGCTCTGTTTATTTTAATTAACAACCACTTCCCCTTTGGTTTTCTACATTTCTACTATCAAACCTCCAAATTTCTGCCCTAGTTCTTGAACTTTCAGACTCTGAATTCTTTGAGTTCTTAGCTATTTAAGGCTGCTCTCTTGTCCTACATCAGTTGTACAAGAAATTTCAACCATCTCTCTCTCTCTCTCTCTCTCTCTCTCGTCATCAATATCATCTTCATCTCTTTTCTGCTTTCGGTCGAATGTTTTTCTGGAACTTCTTTGTATCATCACTACTTACTATTACAAAATTTGGAGAAATTTGAGAACAGAGGATTCAACTTAAATAATAAAGACGGGGGAAGGTGGAGATAGGAGGAGAATCCAGCAGTCTAATTGCACTCATACTCAAACCTAATTTTGCCTACCTCCAACTTCTCTATTGTTACCGACATTCCATTGCACCACCATCTTCCATTTGTTAATAGAAATTGTCATCATGGCCACCATCATCGACGTTGTGGTAGAATCGGCCAAAGGAGAACACTCACTTAGATTGTATCAGAAAAGATTTCATTCTATCGACAGCTCAAAAATGAAATTCAAAATGAATCCACCAAAGTGTGCGCCTTTTGAGACATCGAGCACCTTGTGTTGGACTAAGGCGGGGTTGGAGGACCCCATATAAGACGATCGGAGGCCCAGCCCATAAGGGTCATGCGGAATTGACGTCATCCCCACCTTCCTCCAGTATATCGCTGATAGTCCTTCGTGAGTGCGGCACACACCTTTTAGTTTGTTTCGGAGCAGCTTGCTTGAAAGTCAGTCTGATCAACTCAAATATCACTGGGGAACAAATATATCATAGTGCCAACAATTTCACTATCTCCTTTGTCAGCACTAACAGCAATTATCTATTCCAAAAACGTTCTCTCTATCTCACTCCATCTCTCTCTCTCTCACACACACAAATGCTCTTGAGCATTCAGAGAGATTGTAGGAAGGTGGGACAAAAACTACTCATTGGATATTCTGTGCCTTGAAATGTTTTTATTAAACAGAATCAACTGCAAAATGATACAATTGGATTTTGGGATTGATTTTTTTGAGAAATATTTTGATTTTTTCAGAAAAAAAAACCGATTTTTTTTTTTTTTTTTTTAATTCATATGCGAAGTCTAAAATTGAATGTATATTAAAGAAACGGAAAATGAAAGTGATTTATGCACTGTTACACTTAATTAGTTGACTAACTGGAGAAACACGACTTCAACATTTATTTTCTTCCGATTTGAAGAACATGTCATATGTTGGTCTATTCTCATTCGAAAATTACTCGGGTGTCTGTCAGATTTATTTGGCACATTTTACTTGCAGCAACTTTTTAAGAATAAAATTAATGAAAAGTAGATATTTTCCAAAGTGTCTTATTCATGGTTCATCACTGAAAGGATGGATTGGAGATTAATGGGGTCAACTATACAATGTTTCTATTTACATGTTTGGATTATGTACTCGGTTATGCATTTTTTATTTATCATTTTAGAACTTTTATTTTGTAGGTCTTGACAGAACCCGATCACTGCTACTGTGTACTTCTAAATGCACATGATGGGGCAGCATTTCCTAGTGAAAAGACACGAGTGTGCAGTTCTAGTGATATTTCTTCTTCTAAAATCAACACTGATTCTGGAAAGACAAATAACACTAAGGTTTGATATGGCCATTACTTATGATAATTACCAGTGCTTGCTTCTGATCTGGCTGAGTTCTTAGTTGCTGAGCTAAATTTCCAAACCATGCTATAAGTGAACTAATGTTTTTCTAGTTGAGTGAGCTATAAATTGCTGTACTGTGTTTCTTTTTATCACTCTCTACAGAAAATTAGTGGCAACTGAAATTGAAATATCTGATTGTTGTCTTCTGAAATGGATGGAATGCCATGTCAATGATTACAATTCAGCATGCATAAAGTATATATTAGTTGACTGTGTATCATTGTTTGAGTAGCAGCTGTGTGTGTGTGTGTGTGTGTGTGTGCAGCCACATCATTATTTGCTTTGCCTTATCTTACCAAGTAGTGAAACCACAAGATCCACAATTTATTCTTTTAGCTTTTCCTTATATTTGTTTTGTCTTGAATTTGTGGTTGCAATTTTGTTCCTTTGTAACATTCTTTAAAATTGTGGCTTAATTTTTATTTTTGTCAAAATAAAGGGATTTTTCTTATATACCATTCAATATCATTGAGGATGTTTGATACATAACTTGGAAACCTGAGGGTGTTGGTAATAAAAAAAAGTACATTACCAAGTTAATGTCTCACCTTCGCAAGATGTTAGGAAGGGAAGATCTAACACAAGCCTAACATTTAGCAGTACTTTGCTAATAATGACTGCTTTGAGACTTGAACTCTCCCATGCTCGAGGATGTTGCTAATAATAGCATATATTTTATATTTCTTCTTACTTTTGCTACAGATGGGTGAGATTTGAGTAGCTTGTCTTTTGATAATTTATGTTGTATTGTAATGTTGTAGGAAAATAATCTATCATTTTTTACTTATGTTGAGAATCTGAAATTGGATTACTAATTAAATGATTTCTTAAAACGATAATTGGAAACTTTTTTTTATATACATTTCCTTCTCTCTCTCTCTTCCCTGGAGGGGGAGGGATGGGAGGTTATGGAAATTGCTATTATCTTGATATTTTAGTCTCTTTTCCCTGGAGGGGGAGGGATGGGGGGCTATGAAATTTGCTATAATCTTTGACATTTTTGTCTTCTGTGGTTGCAGATCACTCTTTTTTCGGGATTTGTCAGCTATCAAATGGTTCGAGAAGCATACGATGGTAATTATATCTATTACTCAGACCCAATTTATGTAATTTTTCATTTTAAAGAATAGAAATAGTTTTTATGTTCTTTTATTTGGGATGTATTGTATTTTCCCCTCATGTTAAATGATGGATTAGTAGATGTCATGTTAAGAGATTCAAAATTTGTAAATATTGTTTCTACTTAGTTTGCTTGTACGAATTGTAGTATCGTAGTAATGATTATTCAACAGTTCATTAAGGAGTACATACTGATTGAGATTGTGAATCCACCCAAAGCTGCTTATAGTTGGGGCAAGTCATTGACTACAATTTCTGGGAATCCTATGCTATAATTTTCTGAGATAGTGACTGGTAAATAAAATAAGAAATTGAAATAAGGAACACACTCCTTTCAAGGCTTATTTTATTTAAGCAGAGTGTGTGGTTTTTATTACTTAAAATGAATTTGTAGTCATTTGATAGGTGAATTAGTTCGCATTTAGTCCCAGTGCTAAAAAGTTGAATACTGAAGTTGATGTTTCACTATTGTTTCTTCCTTCTGAAGTCTCTCATGATCTGTCATTTTACCCAAGAGATATGCTTTGCAACTAAGTAACATCTTACTATGTATTACAGAAGTGTGTCTAACTTCTCGGACTGCTAATCCATTCATCTAGACTCTGAGTGTAGTGATTGCCAGAGAGTGTTTAACTTAATTTTAATGACATTCTTTCTTTCTTGGAACTTTTCTCCCTACCTAATGCTCCCTCCCTCCCCCTTCTTTCTTTCTAGAGCTTGTTTATAGCCATGTATCAATCTCTGTTTCAAAAAAATATATATATATTTTTTTATCATACTCAAAAAAATTGAGATATGTGGATCTGTTCATGATTGCTTTTTTTACCAATGATTTTGCTTCATCTAATGAAATTTTCTTCTCTAAAATACTGGATGGAAATATTTTTTTGGTGAATTACAGTTTTTCTTGACCCTTGTTTAATCTAAAACTTGGCAACTTACCTAACTAAAGTTACACCGTGATGAACTGGTGTAGTTTGTAATGATTAATCCAAAAGTTCACAGTTCATGGAAATGAACTTTCTGAGTTTCTGGTTCTCATTTTTTAATTGAAGAGCTTGCTTTAAGTTTTTAACTGTCATTTTCTGAAGTTTGTGTGCACTCTGCTTAAATGTGAAGTACATATTACCCGAAATATGGTGTAATTATCTATTTTTCTATTTTCCTCCACGTTGCAGCTGGGAAATCTGGATTTGGGAGCCTGTTGTCACTTGGTCAGTACCCTGGGAAAAGAGACAGGATTTACATGAAGGGTCCTGGAGGACGTGGGGAAGTTGAAGTAGCTGTTTCAGGTGTTGTAGGTAAATTAGATTATATCTGTTGATTTAGTGATGTTATAAAAGGTTGTGTTATTTATTTATTTTAATTTCATGGTTATAATACTTTCACTATACATAAATTGTAACTGATCCATATTTGAAGATAAGAATTGAAGCTCTCTCCTCCGAAATTTAAACACCTGGTGGCGCCCAGTGACAGGAACAATGTATTTTTTTTCCTTTTCTGTGCAGTGATCTTAGTTATATTCAGCAATTTAAATTCAAATAGTGATCGTGGAACTCATCACTTGTTCCACCTTCCCACCACACTCCACCCAAAAATGATGCACTGCATTCTAACAAGAAAAGGTCAAGTTGGGAATGTGATATGGAGCTTGATTTGAAGCTTACTTATTGATGTTTAGCTTTAATACTAGTCTTATTTATTTTTATTTTTTGGTGAATGGTTTTAGGTCACTATGCTGCTGGTATTTTTTTTTTTTTTTTTTGGGATTATTTTTATAAATTTTTAGTGTTTGGAAATAGGCTGTAGTAATGGTTTATGGACCATATATTGTGTCGATTTATGTTATTGGTTCTATATATGTAGTCTTTAGTGGGTCGTGAATAGTCTTGGTAGACAAAGAATCAAAAATTCCTATTTTGAAGTTCTCTTAATACAGTTAGGGGGTACTCCAGCAGACCTTAAGTTTTTCTATTCAAGGAGTTGAATATTGGGAGTTCGAGAGAAGCTTTTGAATCTTTATATGATGTTTGATGCGACCTTATCTTCAGGTGGTTCTTGAGACAGTATTTCCTTATTTTCCTTCTTTTAAGTTTCTGTATTCGAATTGTATACAGTTTCACAACAGTCTATATATCATCCTCAAATCTTTCCATCCTTGGCCTAATAAGCCCCAATATTTTCGTTATCTTTTGGCCTTTAATGTCTAAAACTCTAAATTAGTTTAAGTCCTACAACCAATCATTTCTAAACCATGCCAAATCTGGTCCTTCTTCATTCACACTTCACAAACTCTTTTTCCTTTTAAAAACCCTAATCTGAACCTTTTTCATTTACACACATCATAAACTTCCTTCTTCCCTTTAAAACCCTAAATCTAGAAGTTTTTACACAACCTTACCTCTCCAAAAAACCTAATCATAAACAGCTTTATCATTAATTTCTACAGTTGTGGAACATCATAAACTGATGTAGTTATTCGTATAGGTAGTATATCTCATTATCAAATTAAGAAAATTTGTCATATGGTTTAAATTCACAACATACATCTGACGATTTATTTTTACTGAACTATTTGAAATTACCAATTATAATTTTGCGGAACGTGTTAGTAGGAAGCTCTCTACCTTTGTGTCACAACAAAGATGTACATGGCTTCTGACATGACTTGTGCAGCAGCAGACCAGTAAAATTAGTCTTTAGGGAATGTAACTCTAGGTTAATGGTCATTCCCTGGTTTGGTAACTTGATTGTTATTTTTCTACTCACCTGTTAATATGACAACTGATTTAGAGGCCAGTTTTGTTTTTCCCGTCCTTATCATTCTATTCTGCTGATTTGTACGAGTATAAATGCCTTGATCATGAAAACAAGTCAATGAGCTACTATGATTGCGGGCATTATCTTATAATGACACCGTGTGCACATATCTGAAACCAAGTCTAGTGGCTTTTGATATGAACTAATGCCACCCCCAGAGCTTCTTTATTAACTGCTGGGAACTCTTGCTTAATATGCAAGTGTCTTATCAAGAAACAGGATGCTGTGGCATTATCCAGTTGTATTTCTTGCAAGTGAACATAGATATTTATAAATTATTTGATTCTATTGGATATTGTGGTTGTGCAACATATTAACTTTCGGCTTAAAAGTTTTGTAGAATTTTTTCCCCACAGATTTATTGTCAATATAAATCTAAACTCTCCTTAAGGGTGGGCTTGTACTTCTAATAGACCTCCAGAGGTTTATATTTTGAATTCTCTGCTTTCTGCGGCAAATGTATTTTATTTCTAGAGTCCTGATTGAACTTGTGAATTATCGTCATAAACAAAACTTTTCTGCCCGAGTCATTCTATGAATTTTGTTGTCTGCAAACTGCAAAGATTGTCATTTACTGAAACTTCTTGATGTTAACATATCAGATCAAAGCAAGGAAGAATTAGGAGCTTCATCGACGCAGATGTCCAAGGGGGGATTTGGGTTCGGTACAATTGTTCGTAGAGCAGCATCTGTTGCATCTGTGGCGGCAAAACATGCCTATGCAGCTGCTGGAGCCACCCGAAGTTCTGATGAAGAGATGTTTCCCCTTAAGTGCTGTTTAATGTCCGTGTCATTACCCTGGGAGAATATTGCACATGATCTTTTGTTTAAGGTGAGTTTTTACTGCTGAACATCGGACAAGTCACTTGTGTAAAGTGAACTAGTCAGTTAATTCTTACCTATATGCCCGTGGATGGTTGATCACTCTTGAGACCGTGTTTATATGTTCGTCATAAGAGAACTGATCTGTCTTTTGTTTGCCAAACTCAGGGAAGTCCTCCAGTGAACTTATAGAAGAAATACATTACTGAGTAACAAGACAGCATTGAGTACTCATCTATCGCACATTCAAGAAGAAAGCATGAAATAAGAGTATTTGTTAATCGGTAATGGAGCTCCTGCCCGCCATATTAAAGCAGCCGAGGCTATGTGTATATATTAAATTTTACCAAAAGCTCGCGCATAAATTTGGGTGTTGGGGTTAAGTTATGTACAAGGGCTGTAATTGTGTTGGCAATATTGTAAATGGTTAGTCAAATATGTCAGTTCTGTTGTCTCAAGTCTTTTAGTCATTTTTAGAGTCATTGTTTTATTGTTTATTAGTTGAATTGACGATTGCTCAAAATCAAAATATGTCATCGCCAGGTTTTTGTGCTGTTGATGTCACGCATTGAATAAAGCTGAGTTGTCTGTTGTGTGAAGACACATTTAATAGCTTGTTGATATGTTAGAGCATCTCCAATGCTAAATGTTATTTCGGGCTGCCAAATTTATATTTTGAGAGGAATTACAGTGTCAAAATATTATATTTTAACAATTTGGCTCCAATGGTGCATTTCATCCAAAATGCTATATTTTACCAAGTCTCACCCTCTATTGAGCCAAGTCCAATCTACTTCTAGCTTTCCAATTCTATTTAAACTCTGATCGTTGATTTCGAAACTACCTTGCCATCTTAACCATTCATTGGATTATGTTCCACATAATATTTTTAGGGCAAATCATTTCAGCCTTCCCAATCACCTCCATCTTTATTCTCGTTCTTGACTCTAAACTTGCCCTTACCCACACATACACATATACATATTACATACGTATTACCCCCTCCTCTCCATTTCCTCCGGCCACCACCGCCTCCACCATCTTCTCCGGCGATCAACTGTCACCACATAAAGCCACACATACAAGAGTCACCTCATCTTTCTTTCTCTCTCTTCACTCACCGCCGTAACCACCACCCCCACAACCACCACCCTCGTCTCTTAATATGGGTTGCTATATATAATATTTATCCATATACATGCATATATATATATATATATATATATATTTATATATATATATATATATATATACATATATAAACCTCTTCTCTCAATCTGGGTGTATACGAATTAGAATTTTCTGTTTAACGATGTGGGATCTATTCCCCAATTCACACTCAATCTGATTTAATTCGTTAATTTCACTCGCATCAATTAGAATATTCACGATGATTACCATCAAATTGGGGGGAATTCTGAGTTCGATTTTGTGGACGAGCTTGTTCGAGCCTTTGATTACATCGAAGATCAAGGCCTGGAAAAATCCCCAGTCTGATCAAGCCCTCACTCGAATCTATTGCCATCACCATTGGAAAATCAGTGCTCCGTTCGCCTTCTCTGCCACCGCCGCCACTTATAAACCATAGAACTCTCTCTCTCTCTCTCTCTCTCTCTCTGCAACTGCAAACTACAAAATCTACAAGAATCAGAAGTTCAAAACCCATATATTTCAGTTTATCTATCTGTTTACAAGAATCAAAAGTTCAAGATTGAAGTCAGATTTTGGAATTGGCAACAAACTTGTCATTGCAGATAAGAGGGAGAGAGAGATCGTTGACGCAACCAGTCGGAAGAGGGGCGGAACGTAATGGACAGTCTCAAAGCCGTTCCAAACGACGTCGTACAGAGAGAGAGAGAGAGAAGTCCTGCTAAAAAAATTGGCAGCTCCTAGATTTGAGAAAAAATTTGGCATTCTCAAAATTTGAGAGCCCAAATAAAAGCCCATTGGAGAACCCATTTTTTACACCTCTCTCAAATTTTGAGTTTAGCAGCCCAAATGAAAGGTGCATTGGAGATGCTCTTACATGGTCAATTGCATTCTTCTTTCTGAAGTAGTATGCTGATGCAATTGCCTGAAAAAATAAAGAAGAGAGATTGTTATTGCAGGTATTCTCAAACCATTTGCTAGTTTAGTGCACGAGGCTCCTATCATTACGAGGTCTGGAGGGTATCAGATGTACGCGGCGTTATCTCTATATGTAGAGACTGGTTTGATTTCGAACGCATGACCTTCAAATCACCGGTTTCCAACCTATGACCTTCGAGTCACAATGAGCTTAGACTGTTCTGGTTTTGAACTTGTGACCTTCAAATGACAAATGGTCAGAGAATATTTCAATTTCGAAACATTCAAATCACAAATCACAATTGTGACTTTCAAATCACAATAGATCAACTGTTGGTAAAAACAAAACAAATCAACAACAAAAGATGCAATTTGAAGGTGGTCCAATCAAGAATTCAACTCAAATTTTAGGATAACTGGAACCACATGGAGCCTACTGATAAGTTGAAACATAGAAAATGCAGGTTGGACTGTGAGATGCCATTTTTCACTTTATTCTCCCAATTCTAATGTCAAAAGTGCAGCACAGAAAAGTATTCACCCATGTTAGTGTCCACTATCCACTATACAGGTTTATATATATGTAACTTGCTAAAAGCCAAACTAAAAACTAAAAAACCTAACAGGGATATAGAAAAATGTTTGTGACAGGGTCCCACATCTTAATGAAATTGTCTATAAAATAAATATACCTTTTCATTTTAAACTTTTGGATTATAAAAAACCTAACAGGTATTCTGTTTTGTTAATTACTGTTTCATAGTTTATTCGTGGTGATTAATCTAATCACTCAAAAAGACCCCACCCAGCCAACCCCACATGCTTGCTACCTGAATTCACACAACTGCTTTGGCTTGTATCCTATAAAATATAAATTATACTTCAAATCTGCTAAAGGACGAAAATGCCCTCACTTTTCCAAACTTCCTAATTAAGTGGACCCCACGTGTCTCTCCTCTTCCTCCTCCATAAATACCGATCTCCTCCTCTTCTTTCCTTCCCCCTTTCTCCTCCATTCCACCCTCCGGTTCGGTCTAACCATGTTTTCTCCTGAACCCCGGTTCACTTCCATCTCCCGGTTTTCGAATCAAGTTTCACGGAAGATGAAATACAGGGACTCCTATCCCTGTTCCAAGCAGGACACCCAGTTGATTCCAACTCCGGTTCAGACACAAACCGGTCGGCTTATTCAGTTGAAGAGAGGAAGCGACGTCGGATGATATCGAACCGGGAATCGGCCCGGCGGTCTAGGTGGCGAAAGAAGAGGCATGTAGAGAACCTAACGAAGCAGGTGAACCGTCTTGGAATAGAGAACCGGGAACTAAAGAACCGGTTGGGCTTGGTTTCACATCAGTGTGGTCTCATAGAAAGAGAGACCGACCAGCTCAGTACTGAGTACTTGGGTCTGCAGCAGAGACTGAGCTGCTTACATCAAATTTTGATCACCATGCAGCTTCAATAAGTACTCCGTGTTTTACATAAACCCTAACTAAGTTATCAAACCCTAACTCAATTCTCTCTCTCAGTTAAGGGCCAATTAATCTCCTAAGCTCGAGCTAATCTTTTTAGGCTCAGCAGCTTCATAAATGAATGGAGTATTGGTTCAACTATGCATCTGTATATAGTATGTACATATCTATATATATATTAATTTTCCAAAAAAAAATCTATATATATATTAATATATATAGAGAGAATATTATGGATTGTTTGGTTAAAAAATTATGGTGCATTAGACTCCTTTGTTTGGGACCCACAAATCTGACGTGGTTTTTCGAAAAAAATTAGTTGTTGAAGTTGCAAATATATTAATATTGTGTTCGGGAGCTATGTTGCGTTCAGAAATGTAAAATTTGAAATTGTAGTCACGATCTTACTAAGAAATCAGTACTAGATTATCAGTAAATCTTTCTTTAAATTTTTTTATTATCAAAAACACCCTCCAACTAACTATGGGATTTTTTTTTTTGACAAATATTATATATAATTGGTTGAATTGCATAAAATCCCCTTGATTTGGTGGGAGTATCTTAATAAAAGTAACTCTTCTCAGTTAGTTGGAGGAGGGATTTTGGAAAAAAAAAAAAAATTTAATTAATTAATTAATTAAATTAAATTAAAAGAGAGTTTATTGCAAAATATACTTCAAGTCAAGAGAAGTTTTATGCAATTCCCTCGTAATAGTAAAATAGACCAAGGATAAAATTAGTAAAGAACTCATTGTTGAAGTGATAGGCACAACTATTGAAAATAAATCCATATGCAAACCACGAAGCTAGTTTGTCATCACTAACTATGCTAGTAAGATATAAGATGTACCAAGATTAATAAGTATGAGGGCAATTATCTAGTCGTTTAGTTGCTGGAGAGTCCACCTCTCCGAGTGAATGTGCTCATATTCGAGTCCCATTTTCAAGTCTTCACCTCTCCCTAGTTTGAATAGAAAAAAATGTATTAAAAAGTAAGGTAAAGTACAGTTACACTCTAAGATTTGACAAAAGGACACACAGATGAAAGTTACTCATTTTTTGGACAGTGACACTCTCCTTCCTAAAATTCTATCTAAACAAGGTCTTAAATCATATAAAAAGATAAAATTATCCCCTCAATATTAAATTCAAATATATTAAAAAATATCAGACCTTGCAAAATGACGCATGCAATAGGCCTTATTCATTTTTTCTCTATCTGCTAACATATACGAGTATATATATATATATATATATATATATATATATATATATATATATATATATGTATGTATAGGAAGGCTCTCATGCGATCCAAAACAACGGACTTTTCAACGGACCAAAACTCAATTAGTTAATTATACTTTATTACTATATCAAACTTAACCATAGTTAATAATGTTAATTTTAATAGTCAATTTACCATAGTTAGTCAATACTTTTATTCAATCTCTCTCCTCCTAAATCTCTTCATCTTCTTTGCAATCTCAACCACTACCATATTCATTCTCCAAAATGGGACTCCAAGACTACTAGAGCAGCAAAAGCAATCAAGCTAGCAGTAGATGACAGACTCATCAAAGAGAAAAAGGAGTCTGATCAGATGTTATATGACTTTAATGAGTTGGAGTTCTTGATTCTATGAATTTACGGTCTTTCAATCAATTTACAAGTTATGTTTTATTTATTTTTTTGGTTGGTAAATTTAATTTTTAATTTAGAGAACTAACTATTACTATAATAAATTTTTATTTACCAGAAGACAATGAAAAGAAGTTGATCCTACCTAGATGTCATCACTCATATAGAGTAGCACCAAAACTAAGCCACCCAACAGTAAATCAAAGACGTGAAAAGACTGATTCTCAAGTTTTATTTATTTATTCAGACTTATAAAGAATCTTAATTTGTGTATATATGGGTAACAAAGTATTTTAATATTATTGAAATTTAGCCTAGGAGTCCAATTTTGGAGAATAAATATGTAGTTGTGTTGGGGTTGTAGTGGTCAAGATGGTGGCTATGATGGTATGGATATGGCGGTAGTGATTGAGATTGTAAGGAAGATGGGTAATGGTTGAGATTACAAGGAGGATGGAATAGATTAAGGAGGAGATAGATTGAATAAATGTATTGACTAACTATGATAAATTGACTATTAACGTTAATATTATTAACTATGGTTAAGTCTAATAAAATAATAAAGGTAATTGACTAATTGAGTTTTGGTCAGTTAAAAAGTCCGTTATTTTGAATTGCATGAGAGCCTGCCTATATATATAGTCGTATATTTACTGTATATATATATATTATACACATTACAACACTACCACCAACACTGGTGGGGCAGGCACAGGAGTCGTCCGCCGCCGCCGCCACCACACCTACCCACACCACTTTTCTCTGTATTGTTCTCCTTATCTTCGGCGTCAGTGTCAGAAAGGGAAAAAGTTTGGGTTTGGGTTTGATCCAAGGGTATTTGAATCAATTAAAATTAGAGTTGTGCCGAACCTTACGAAATTAGAGTTGTGCCAAACCTAATGAAACTTTAGGTTAGGGCCATGTTTGCCGGCGTGTTCTTAAGCTCGCTTGATTGCGATTGGGGAAAAGTTATCGAGATTGTTGACCACCACAACCTTGTATCCACCTAGCAATAGTTGAAGCACCGTGTGACTTCCGATACACCTAGCACCACCAATCACCAAAATAGTTTGTGCTATGGTTAATCAGTATACAGATACTATACTATATCTATATGTGTGTATAAAGGAATAATTGTTTTTGTGTATATAATACAGAGAGATCTGAAATTTCAGAATAGACGAGAAAGAGAAGATAATTGAATTTGACAAAGTGACACTCTGATCTAGCTACAAAGAGAGGGTTTGGATTTGATTCAAGGGTAGTTAAGTCAATTAAAATATTAATTTTATATTAAAGGGTAATAAAGTCAATTTATCATTGTCATGGTCTCTTTTCCATTTTTTAAACTTGAAGGAGTGTCCTTGTCCAAAAATAAATAACTTTAATTTATCTATTTTTTTGTTAAGCCTCAGAAGATGTGGTTGTACTTACATAAAAAAAAATAAATAATTGGTACACAAATTTCTTCCATTGAGTAGTCTATTTCAATGGTGGGCCTTTTGCCTCTACCTTGTAGTGGACCTGGCCTCACAGGAAAGCCTATGGGCCAGTCCCCTGATATGTGCGTCAGGGGTAATTTCGTAAAGTCGCCATTTTCAAACCACAAACGCCTAAAAGAGCCCGCCGATCACCAATCGAAATATAGATCTGTCATCTGTCGCCCGATCGCTAGAGAGAGTGTGTGAGAGAGAGGGAGAGTTTATCGTGTCTCTGTGTGTGTGTGAGAGATATAGACATAGATAGAGAGAGATGGAGAAGGTATGTGTAGCAGTGAGAGTGAGACCCCCGGTCAGCGAAGAGACCTCCAATGGAACTTACTGGAAGGTTGAAGACAACCGCATTTCTCTTCATAAGTCTCTCGGCACTCCTATTTCTGGACTTTCTTATGCTTTTGGTATTCTATCCATTCACTGCTCTCTCTCTACAAATTATATATATATATATATATATATATATATATATATATTAATATATATATTCTTTGATCTCATTTGGTTTGTTCAAGATATCGTTTTTGAGTTGCTTGTTCAATGTTTGTATTTGCAGATCATGTATTCGATCAGGATTGCACAAATTCTAGGGTTTACGAGCTTCTTACAAAGGACATTATTCATGCCGCCGTTGAGGGTTTCAATGGTGCGCCTTTTCTACTCTTTGCTTTTCCAAATTTTTGCGAATTGTTTGTTTTTTGTCCCAAGTTAAGTTTACATATGTACACATATGTGTGTGCATATATATATATATATATATATATATATATATATATATATAATAGTTGTAAGCTCGGTTGACTTGAGTAGAGTGGAGAGTTTCTTTTGGTCAAAAATTGAAAAACAGAAACTCTAAAGTTGGCATCTTCTCTTCTGGTTTGTTTTCGGTGTTGGTGTAGCTATTCTATCGTTTCTCTGCAACCAAACCGGACAACAAGTTTAGTCTAATTACTTGGAAATCTGGGGTTGCCCTGTTTTATTGAAGCTCTATTTGGCCTAAGTTCCTATCTTCTTCTTTTTTTCCCTTTCATTTTGTTGTTTCAAACTTCCAGCACAACAGTACATGAACTTTGTCAATACAAACGTCTCAATTTCCCACAGTGACGGAAAGTGGCTCTGACCTTTTTGTTTTGGTCATGTGGCTCGCTACTCAATTGGGCAGCCCTTTATGTGCCCATACTCTCTCGACCCAGGTGAAGGCAAGATTTGATCCAGGTTTATGAATTCCTAGAGATTTTACTGACACTTCTTGACTATTGATTCTCAGTTGCCGTTTTTCTTAGGGAATTGGCTCACCTTGTGTAAAACCTCCAACCATATAGAGTTGTATTTAAATTTTTTTTTTTACTACTTCGGTTTTCACCCAAGAGATTTTCTCGTAAAAGCATTGATTTCATTTTAGTTAGGGATTTTAGTTGGTTCAGTGTTGATTTCATTTCTGGGATCACTGGCTCCTTAAAGGATGTTCAACTGTAAAAGTCAACATAAGGCTTAGTGCTTCCTTTAAGTGGAAAGTTTTTCCATTCATTTCTTGAGGCAATTTATTTAGAGGAGAAATCCTTGCAGTTGGCGAGGTTCTGTTCAGTCTCATTCTTTCATCTTCTTCTCTTCCTATAATGAATAGGTTGTTGTCTAAAGGTACATCATAGCTCTGTATAGATATTCTTGGTATACACCTATGTTGAAGTTGAACTAAATAGTTTTTCGTTGTCATCAACTAACATTTACAAAATGTTCATTGTAAGTCCTGCTTTGATTGTGTTAGTTTTTTTTTTTTCCTGAATAATTGTATCAGTTTGATTTCTATATGCCATATCTTTATTTCTGAGTGCCTTCATATTGATTCAAAGCTAATCACTGAGATATATGAAGGAACTGCATTTGCATACGGACAAACCAGCAGTGGCAAGACTTTTACGATGAACGGTTCTGAAAATGATCCAGGAATTATCCATCGGGCTGTAAAAGATATATTTGGAAAAATTCAGATGGTATTATTATAGCTATCAATATTCCATCATTATCATCACTACTATTATTTTAATTATAATAATTTTTCACCTAAGGTTATGTTATAGTTGATGTAAATGTGCTTAATTTCTAGGAATTCTAGTTTCACCACTTTTTCTTTGATGTCTCAGACAAATGACAGAGAGTTCCTGATTCGAGTTTCCTACATGGAAATATACAATGAAGAAATTAATGATCTTTTTGCTGTAGAGAACCAGAAACTGCAGATCCATGAGAGTTTGGAAGTGAGCTATCGACAGATAACTTGGACACTTTTGCAATAGTTTTTCTGGAATGTATGAAAAGCTGATATTTCTTGTTTCCAGCGTGGGATATTTGTTGCAGGACTCAGGGAGGAAATTGTGAATTGTGCTGAACAAGTGCTTAAGCTCATCCAGTCTGGAGAAGGTTCGACTCCTAATGAGAATGGGCCTTAGTGGTGTTGTACACTTTTTTAAGTTGAATGCTTACATAAATTTGGAAAGTTGCATCTTACAGTTAACAGGCACTTTGGTGAGACCAACATGAACGTTCGAAGTAGTAGATCTCACACTATATTTAGGATGGTATGCTCTTGATGTCTGATGGAAATGCTGCTACATGTGGAATCTGTTCATTTTTCTGAATTTCTACTATATATATATATAAATGGTAGTAATATCCATTAAAAAAAATTAATTCAATTTATTTTTCCTATACCAGGTAATTGAGAGCAAGGGAAAGGATATCAATTCTTCTGGTAATTATCCAAGTCCAGACGATGCTATACGTGTTTCTGTCTTGGTTAGTATTTTTCTCACAATTGTTTAGAAGTTGACATTTCAACCTTTAGATGTTTGATTCTGCTTATATTTTCATTGATGCTATGTTTTCTGTCTGGAACTAGAATTTGGTAGATTTAGCAGGGTCTGAACGGATTGCTAAGACTGGAGCTGGGGGAGTTCGTTTAAAAGAAGGGAAGCACATCAACAAGAGCTTAATGATTCTTGGCAATGTGATTAACAAACTAAGTGACGGTGCAAAGCAAAGGTATCTTCCTATCCCCATTTAATAGTATGGATAAGAGCCGTGCATTAATGGATTAAATTACAAATGCAGGGGACACATTCCTTATCGTGACAGTAAGCTCACTCGAATACTTCAACCTGCACTTGGTGGTAATGCCAAAACCTCAATAATTTGCACTGTAGCCCCTGAAGAGGTAGTCCATTATATATTTATACACACATTCATATGTACTTTTGAATAAGGATCTTACATCAAGTTTAGTATTGGGCTTTGAAATTAGTACATGTCTAATATATCTAGGTTCACATAGAGGAAACAAAGGGAACTCTCCAGTTTGCTAGCAGAGCTAAACGCATTACCAATTGTGTTAAAGTGAACGAGGTTTGTTACTGATTTTTGTTTAGTAGCATTTACCAATTTTTCCCTTTAATGATATTAAGATGTTTGAATTCCATTTATATCTTGATATACAATATTTCAACTGTGGCTTGTATGTGGTTTCTAGTTTGATGTATATTTCTTTTCTAGAATCAGGTGTAGGAGGTATAACTGATACATTTACAAGGCATGGGAGTGTAATGTGCAATGTGTTTAAATTTTGGATATTTAGTACTTTCCTTCTGTTACTAATTTACGATTGGTCAATTCACAAATTTAAATGAGAAGAAATGTAAAATCCTAGATGTGATTTATTCTAAATTTTACTTAGCAGCAACTTGCAGCCTTGCAGGTGATTCAATGCTGGTCTTAACTTCAATTACGATGTAAATTGTTGTGAGTCCTCAACAAATTGAAATGGCTTCCAAAAATTTCTAGTTGTTTTGAATTATATTGCAACTTTTGTTCTCCAGCATAGGAAAGCAATTGAGGGAATCTTGTCTCAAATTTTCTTAAATGTTTTGAAATGCATTCACATGATGCTGGGCATAATATATGCTCTGAGATTTAAACTTGACGTGTGGGGCTCAAAACTCATGTTCCCTTTTCAACACATTATATATTTAAAATATGATAACCAGATATACCTTCTTGTAGTTTGATTATTGAATAGGTATATAAAGCAGATCATATTTTTAAGTATCATTTCTTGTATAGCGTATATATATATATATATATATATATATATATATATGGGTTATAAGTAGTTGTACTATAATGATTAGGCAACTTCCCTCATGCAGCAATGATTATTTTGGAGTTAATTTTATTTTTATGGTTGCTTCTTTCATTTTAATGTGATGGTATGACTAATCATGGTTGAATTTATTGTAGATTTTGACAGATGCTGCCTTGTTGAAGCGACAGACACTAGAGATAGAGGAACTGCGTAAAAAACTTCAGGTGATGATTGTATCTTTTTTACTTTACACAAATGAGGCTAAGAACCAATAAAATGTGGTAGAGTTTTTGTTTAGGGATCTCGTGCTGAGGTGCTGGAGCAGGAGATCCTGAAGCTGCGAAATGACATGCTCAAGGTAGATTGTTCTTTTGTTGCTTATGTTGAAGGGCCAGTATCTTGTGCATCAATAACAAGTCAAGTCTGCCTTTTCATTACATGCATTTATTTTCTTACTATTCAATTCTCAGTATGAACTAGAGCGTGAGAAGCTTGCTATGGAACTGGAGGAGGAGAGGAAATCACATAAAGAACGGGATCAATGTATAAAGGATCAGCAGATGAAAATTAACAATCTCAGTAGTCTTGTCACTACATCAGATTCTGATAGAAGTACCACCTCCATCCAGGTAAAACTGTAGAACTTTTAATGCAATATGTATGAATTTTTGTTTGATAGCTTTGGTTTGTTGGGCATTCCTTGTGTTAAATGCTGTCTGATTAACCATCTTTGCCCTAATCTGATTGACTGTTATTTTATGGATAGAACAGTACCTAACATCCCCTGTCTCACAAGCATTTTATAAATTTATATTCTAACTACATTTATTTAAACATTAGCCCAATTGCTTGATTTGGCCAATGTAGCTCATTTTTGCCATTCTGCTGTATTTTGTGGCATATATTCTTTGAATAACTGCATGATCAATTGGAATTTGGAAATTTTTAAACCAAACCTGTTTCTATATACCGTATATCAGAATTTACTAATTTCTCTGATCAATATTTTTCTGAATTACAACAAAGTTATTGTTTTCGTTGACAATTGTAAACACTTCAAATATGTTTCTGACTAAAATTATCTTGACAAGAACATTTTACACAATTGGACTTGTCGTAAATGTTTATCCTGGCCACAAATTGAGAACATTGAAATGTAGTAATTGTAATTTATGTTTCTCTTGTTTTGTTGACTATAGATTTAATTGAAACTATTATACTTAACAGGAAATAGCTGTGATATGAATCTCTGTTTTTTGGTCCTGTATATATACAAATCTTGAGACACACATCTACTGTTGAAAGAGAATTGTATGAAGATTATAGGGTAAATTTTTTTTATTAAAATTTATTTATAGTAAATCACTCGGATCAATCTTTTGACTTAATTTTACCAGACTGAATAGTCATCTTTGACTTGCTAGGATAATTTTATTTTAAGATATGTCAAGCTGATTTCATATTATGTACTTAAAGGACCAGGAATTTGTAAGGCAAAGCCTCAAGAAAGAAAGCTTTGACAGTCATAGCGTATTCCAGGAAGATGGTTTTAGAACCCCTTGTTTTAAAGCAGTTCCCAATGCCTTTGTTGTCAAACGATCAATTTCCTCTCGGCAGCAAGAGTGTAGCCCTCTTCCAGATACATTTAGCAATATTGCTGATGAAGACACGTGGATGAAAATGAACAAAGGCTACATAGCTGACCTTGATTCAATTCAGATGACTCCAGCAAGGAAAGTTCATTCCTTTCCATCAGGTGATGGAACTCCTGTGAGTACTTTTTCTACATTAATTTTTGGTCCATTTGAAATAGTTGATTTTTTTCAATTATAATACCTTCACGCATAATAATTAGAAAAGGAGAAATATGAAAATCTACTCTCTAGACAATTTTTAAATGAATACATGTATTTATCATTAGAGAATTATAGTTATTTTGTTTTCCCAGTACAGTTTACTTGTTTTACTTGTGTTGAGGTGTTCTTTTCTGCACTTCCATAGTAATGAACTAATTGAAGAGCTAAACAATTTTGAATCTTTTAATCTGTTTTTGGACTCTATTTGACAGACATTTGAGATGATGTTCTATAATGACATTTTCTTACTTTGATTCTTTTAAATTTAATAAAACCGTTGGTTGGTTGGCTTTGTGAATTATAGAGATATCAAAACTTATATAGTATGGACTGAACTTAGAATCCGCAGTGCATGATTTTGTAGTGAAATATTTGTAAACGGACATTTTGTTGCAACATCACTTTGGGTGTGTATGTGTTAATTGGAAGATTTGCTTCTTGTCAGGGTTGCTCCATTGAGAATTACAAACAAGAGGTCCAGAATCTCAAGAGACAGTTGGAACATACTATTAAAGAAAAGGATGAACTTGAGGTTAGTCTATTCTTATATTTTTAATTTGCTATTCTTTGTTTCTTCAAGATTTTAAATGCTTAATTTGGTCAAGGTTCTTTTTAACTTTCTGAACTCATTGTGCTTGGAAGCATGAATTGGGTTGATCCAATATTTAGGCCAAGATCTTATCTTTTATTAGATTCAATTAGCATATTTAGGATGTAGAATGAATTTAGAGGGAGAGAAGGCTTAGAGAAAGAGAGACTGCAAAAAATTGGGCAGGCTCTAGTTTGCCAGCTAAAGTGCTGACTCGGCCAATTTCCTCTTAAAATTAACTGAGTACCTCTGAGTCTTGGTCGAGTCTCTTTGAGTTGCTTCAGGGTGCTTCAAGTCCCGATAGAGTCCCTTGTGATTTTCATTCACAGTGATAGATCGGGCAGTAACAGAATTGACTCTGACCAAGTCCATTGTGACCTGGCCCAGCCATAATGGCCAGTACTTTAAACCATGTTTTACATTGTATACAATCAGTGTAACGCTGTTATATGTGAAGTTGCTAACTAATTATTTTATAATATAGGCAAAATGAGACATGTCATAACTCAAAAACTGCGTATAAGAATTTTGGTTGTAGTTGTAGTACATTTCCTGTTATGAAAGACAAATCATTAAGCCACTCATTGCTCTTATTGATATGTATTTATAGAATGACTTATTCATCTCCATCACAATGAAATGACGCTAACATAGTAATGAACTAGTCCTCAAAAGAGCAGTTTGCTGCACCTAGGGCAATTAGCTATAGCTTTCATGATGATTTGATCATCAACACTCTTTAGCAACCGCCAACCCCAGTAACGGTTTCCAACCTGGGATAGACATGAAATTTTTTTTATCTAAAAGTGAAAAGGAAATGAGAGAAATAAGATTTCTTACTTTAAAAGATTTTTTTTTTAATTTACTTAGTTTCTATAATTTTCATTATGAAAATGTAGCAAGTTAAATGTAGTTAGAGCTCATTTTAAGTCTCCCTTATTTGAAACGTAATTTACACTACTATAAAAGTTCAAACAGATAATGGAGTTGCTGAATTATTTATTATTTGATAAGTGAGAGACATCTGGATCCTCTCCAGTACACACACCTTTATTTTATTTTGTTCCGCATCAAAACAATATCGTTTTGGGGAATGTAACACCAATATTCGAGGATGCGGCACCCATAAATTTGAGAATGCAACACCCATTACTTTGAGAATGCAGCATCCATTACTTTGAGAATATCTCAAAGTAATGGGTGCTGCATTCTCAAAATGACGTCGTTTTGATGCACAACAAAGTACATTGTTTAGGTGTGTACCGAAGAGGATCCACTTCCCTTGAGAGTCACAGGAGAAAAGGTCTACCTACAGTTACAGTGAACTGTATATTTTTCTTTCCCTTTTTTAAGCCATTAATTTTTAAAAATCAATGAATTGTTTCAAATAACCCTTTTCTGTTGGTTTGTCAAACCATATTCCATTGGCAGTAATCCTTAAATGATCAAAAGAACCACAAATCATACCAACATAGATTTTGCACGGCATTATTTTAATTTTAATTTTTTTTAAATAAAGAATACTGATTCTTTGGATCATTGCAGTTTATAGTACTTAAATTTGGCTGTTATAAAATTCTTTTTATTTATTTATTTTTCTTTTGGTTTGGTGGTATTATAGAGTCTATCATTCAATCTTATGTTCTTTGGACCATGAAATGTATGCATGACTAATTCTTTAATTGCAGTAGATGTTAATTAAAAGTTCAAAGAATAACATTTAGATCCAAGTATGTTAAACCAGACTGTTTTGTGGCTGTACAATCTGCTATATCTGTTGCTTGCATCATTTGTATGTTAGAAATTATGAATTATAAGCATGTGTTACTATGGGAATCGTTGTCCATACCTTAAAAAGCCACTGTTCCATTCTCACACGATTATTTTTATACGTCCTACTCTTACATGTTTAATTAGTTCATTATTAATTATTTTTAATATCTTCTAGAATATCTTTCTTTCTTTCTTTCTTTCTTTTTCTTTTTTATTTTTTTTTAGAGTAAAGATTATATATCTTTTACTCTAACATATCTCAACTGTGAAACTAAATGTTAATTTTTAGATTGTATATGTTTGTTTTTCGATTGTTTCCCATTCTTCTACCATTCTAGACATCCATGTTTATATTTTCTGTTACATGGACTTAAAGCTTATACATTGATGTATGTTCTACAGAAAAATCACACCGAACAAATACTACATAACACTCAACTGATGGCAGAGATATCTGAACTTCAACAAGAGGCACTACTAATCCGAGAAGTTCCTCGACAATTGTGTGAATCCGTGGCCTACTGCAAAGATGTATACAAGGATGTTTTGTCAATTTTGCAGGTGAAACCTGTGCAACATCTTTTACTCTTCTTCGCTGAGAAAGAGTTCAACAAAATAATGTTTACTGACATTTGGTTTGTAACTGTAACAGAGTTTTGTCGCTGATGAGAAATCTGCAACAGCAAAATCACTCTCTAGCACAAGTGAGATTGGTTCACATCTTTTCTCATCTTTGGAAACTCATCTCTCACTGGCTATGGACGGCCCCAAAACTTCGACAATGAACAATTCTCTAATTCAAGAGCAATGCAAGAAAGTTGGCGACAACTTGAACAGCACAATTACATCCATAGTCCTATCAGAAGCACCAGCTCTCAAGGATGAACATGTTGGAAATCCGGTATACAGCAGCGAGTATAAGGTAGCTTTCTGGTGACAAACTATCAATATGTAATTCTTCAATTTCTCCCATCAAGGAGACATTTGCATGTATATGTTCTATTTTAACAGTAGTGTCCCGAATGTGGTATAGGAATGCACATTGGGAGGAGAAATCGCTCACTGGAAGGCGAAATTCGTAGATGAACTTAACACAATCAAGGAAAAATGTCAAAGCTTGACAGAAGAGTTGGATAACAATAAAGAGCTTCTCGAGGTTTCTAAAGAAAGATATCATAGCTTAGAAAGGGAGTTCCATCTCTTGAAAGAAGAAAAAGACTCTCTGCTTCAAACAGTCTCTAGTTCATCTCAAAGGCTGTCACTAGTTACTAATGAAAAGAAAAAGGTTTTGCAGGATTTGGATGATGAAGTACAGAAAAGAAAAGACCTAGAAGAAGACATCAAAAAGTTCAGCGTCGCATTTGCTTGTCGTCAGAGGTCACTCGAGTCATTCCACAGTGAGTTTCGAGCTAAAGTTGAGAACTTGAAAGCACAGAATCCGGTTTCAATACCCAAATCTCTTGGATATTAGAAATGGTTGCCTCTTGATGCAGTGTAAGTTCTGCAATTCACTGGAAACCTCCTGGTATTTGTTGTTGCTGTTTGTGATGTATTTATATGAATTTATGTATATTTGATCCACACATTATGATGCAGTGTAAGTTCTGCAATTTACTGGAAATCTCTTGGTATTTGTTGATGCAGTTTGTGATGTATTTAAATGAATTTATGTATATTTGATCACTTGACATCTCCATATTGGATTTTTTTTATAAGTATTAGTTGGAAGTATGAATTGTAATTCAAACTCTGCAAATCATCTGATACGATTGTGGCAATTAAATATTTTGATCTATATATTTGTTGCTGGTGGAAGGTATAAAGGATAGGAATTCAGAATTTTAAAATTGAATTGCACCGTTAGATGTTTATTATATTTATTACATGTTTATTATATTAATTACATATAAATTTAGATTTACCAGGGAAGAATCAAAAGTTGGTGTACCTTGCAGTATTGCTTTATTTATTTATTTATTTATTTTTTTATGTATTAATGTGCCACATAATGTGAATATTCAAACCTTAAACTTGGATTGTTTGGATAGTTTGGTTTCTCCATATTTGTTTTTTTTCAAAGAAAATGAAGATATCTAGTTCTTTTTAGTACTCTCTTTCGAAATGATGAGTATGCTTAATTTAGATGGTTTTGTTTTTTGTGAAAGTTGGTTGAAGACTATGAAATTTGAAGGCAATGACATTACAGGTTGTCAATATGGTTTTTGGTCGTGATTGATGTGCCATTTTTGTAAACATGTTCAAGACATTAACCTAACGCGTATATACGTGTTCAGCTCATGACCCCATTATCATAAAATGGAGAAGAACTGAAGGCAACCTCTACACACACACAAATTCATTGTCTGTCTAGTTATTTAAGAATGCAAGTTGATCTATTTATATTCAATGGGTGAAAAAGTCAAATAATTTCTGTTGATCAAATTTAAGTTAAATATTCAAAATTCATGAGTTTTAGATTCTATCATGGACAAGGCCTCTATTTGGAAAAATTGAAATTCAAAATTACTTTGTGAATAAATTCATGAATTTGTGTTGTTGCAAAAGGTCCTCACTGTTTGACTGTTAGTATGACAATTGAAAGATGAAAATGAATTGAAAAAAAGAAAAAAAGAAAAAGAAAAAGAAAAAAGAGATAGAAGAAAGACTTGCGGTAACATTCTATCCAAACTAAGGTAACTTTCTGTCCAAACTAAACCAAATAATTCCAAGCATCTTGACTCGTATTATGTGTTATTACATCGCTTATGCAATAACTATTACTTTTTTGTATATATGTTGTACTATGATATAGTGCGTTACACTAATTATGTATTACCGACATAAAAACAAGACACAAGATTCCCTTCACAAATTCATTAAGATACATAATTTTCATTACCCCTAACAAAAACATATGCTTTCAAAGTCCAAAGTGTGAACACTAAATGCTATTTTGGGTGGTTAGAGACATTGCCACATTGACAAAGATCAGATAGTGACAGGAGATTAATCAATCATATATCTGTCTTCTTGTTATATAGTCCTCAGTAAATTTTAATTTTGGTGATGGACAGCAAACCATAAATTGATATGTCACGTGTAAGATGAGACTATCATAAGTGCCCCAAAAATAGTAGTATTCTTTGTCCAGAAACAGAAACGAAGATTATTACATTATTTTTTAAATAAAAATGGTAATAAATAAATAAATAAATAATCAATTTTATTCCGCCAATAGAATCATAATACACCTTGAAAATAAAATTTCCACTTTTAAATATATCAAATTTTACATCAGTTCTTGATAGTTGGTAGAGAGATTTAAGACCAAGATTTTACGTGCTCTGGGACAATGTGAAATTTAACCTCTGCAATCATATCTTAATAATCATAATTAGATAACGACAGGACATGAAAGCAGAATTTGTGGTCAATGTCGATGCAAATATACAATTGAACATATAGTAATCAAACACAGTATTTAATTATGAGAAAATGGATGATAATCATTGATTTCAAATTTATTTTGATTGAGGAACAAAGTTAAGTGTAGATATATATTCGACAAGGGAGATGACATTCACACTCTAATTTTTTTTTTTTTTTTTCAACACTCGAGTACTTCTCTAATAATTGGACGGTGTGAAATTATTTTTAAGAACAATACTATTTGAACTTATTTTTCAAGTCGGAGTGGATATCGTAAGTATCAGTAGATTGAATACAGACAAGGATTTATCCAATGCATCAAAGGGATAAAATAAAACCTTTCTGCTATCATTGGTTTAGAAAATTGATTTAAAAATTATTTTTTTGCTCTTTAAAGGGCATTTATGTCCCTATTTATAAAAATAAAATAAAATAAAACAAGTGAAGTGGATGAAGATAATAGTGGATTGGTTTTAAAAATTGGTTTAAAAATTAATTTTTGTTTTTTATAAGGTAATTATGTCTCTGTATTTGAAAAAATAAAATATAATAAAACAAGTGAAGTGGATGAATATAAAAGTGGATTGGATTAAAACATTGATTTAAAAATTATTTTATGTTTTTAAAAGGGTAATCATGTCTATGTATTTAAAAAATAAAAAAAAATAAAATAAGTAGAGCGGATGGAGAGAAAAGTTGCTTGCCATTACCATGACCCTTCTTTTAAGGAGGTTTAAATCATGAGGCTGAAGCCAATCAATATTTCATGCAGAAATGGACATTCAATTTTTGATTATTGAGTACTTTCATAACAAGACAAAAAAAATAAAATAAAAAAATAAAAAACTATGTGGACCATTTTAAATATAAAAACAATTTAATTAAATGCATTACAGAGATCAAACAATCTCTAGGTTACATAGCTTCAAAACTGTTGAAGCTATTTAATGAATTACAAAAAGATGCTATGGCCTATATGGGGCATCAAACGTTAGGTGACTTCTATTCCTTTGTCTCCCATTTTCAATGTAATGTTCATATCATTCATTTCTCTTTCCCCTTTACCTTTAAACTTTATCCCTGTTCAAGTTCCCTTTAATCTTCTCTCTCTGTTTCCACCCTTTTTTTTCAGTCCCAAATCTGACATATATACTTTGTGTATCCCAATTAATACGCCTTCTCAACAAGCCATCCTTATTGTCAGGATCGGGATTCTACGTAAGATCGTAACATTCTATAAAACTAGCTCAAAAACCTTCAATTTTTGCAGCTTCGGAATGGCTTCCAAACCAGTTGTAGTAGCCAAACAGCTCTCGGAACTTCTCCGAGAGCAACAAGAACCCTTTGTCCTAGAAGAGGTCAGCTTTAGCTGCTGGTCTTGCAATTCCAACAGGTTGTTGAAGAGGTCAGCAACTTCTGGCCTAAAGAGAGGAAGGAAAGTGCTTCCCAACTGTTCCAAGACTGTGAGAGCTTTGTTCAACAAGCTTGTGTCCATACACAGCCACAGAATCAAGAATTCTGTGAGTGGAGATGGGGATTTTAGCGTCACTGAGATCCAGAGCCAGATGAGCTACCGAGACGGCGAAGAATCGGATAGATTCTCCTCTGCTAGCAGCACGACAGTGTTCGATTCCTGCTCAGAGAGTGACGCAGAAGAGGCGCCAAATTCGTCAGAAAGAGATAACATATTGGACACTGCAGACACCTGCCAGTCCTGCAATATTGTTCCAAGAGATCACGAAAACGCGGTAAACTTTAATTCTTTTATTATTTGCCATTGATTTTTCCATACAAATTATTCATTCAATTTGGTTAGTTACTCACAAAGCTAACAGATTGATGCAGATAGGAAGCCAAACTAATGGCTCTCTTTCAGTCCACAAATCAATAAACTTGGATGGTGGTTTATTAGCTCATAACAAAAGAAGTTAGTCTCTTTTTGTTAAAACCTTATTATATATATATATATTTCAATTTTTAGATTTTTAATCCATTACTCTGTTTGGATGAACAGAAAAACACAAAGCCAAAGTAATGAGACCAGTGGCTTCATCAACTTCTAAACTTAGAAAGTCCACGAAAGTAGAAGATGTGGACTTACTTGTCCACACTTCACCTCAGTACCTTAAATCCATGAGGGTGTTGCAGCAAAAAAACCAGCTTCTCTTTGACTGTGTGAGGGAGGCAGTGGACGTCACACATGTATGGAGGAAGAGAAGGCGGCGACGACGCCTCCGGGAAGTGCTAGGGCCTGAGGAGCTTGGCAAGCTACTTTCTGAGAGTGTAGTGACATGGAGCAAACAATCTGAAGAAACCAACACAACCCTACTACTCAACTTTGATTTCTTTGATTCAATTGAAGAATGGAGTGATTTTGAATTCCATATTAGGGAAATTAGTATGCAGATTGTAGATTCCATTTTAGATGATATAGTCAATGAGATTGTTACAGACATGATTGAATTATGTTAAAACTACTTTAAGAGGTTTATTAAATTCAATCACTTTCTTTAGTGCTCTAGTTTTTCAATTATTGTACATTAAGTTTGTTATCTGATCTGCAAAATATTAATTTACTTTCCAAGATATCAGGATGGTTAATACATTGATATATAGGGCATTACCTTATGGCGTTGGTAGAGCGTTCAGCTCCTTGAGCCTGAGCGGATGTGTCTGTGTTTGAATTCCCTTCTCTAATTGATCAGATATACATTATCTTGACAATAGTTAGTAGTCAGTTGGGGGAAGGGGGGAATCGAACCGAAGATCAATAGGGTGAGAAACATTTTTAACCTGATTCTTTTATCACTCTGACCACATCGCCATACCTAATATATATATATATATAGGTATATGCGAAGTTCTCTGTCAAGTGAATGTTGGGGAGATGTTGATATTTCAACCACTAATAAGAACATATATCTAAAACAGATTAATACAGTGGGCATCCATTTCTTTGCATGTGGCTATATTTGTCATAAACCGCATCATTTTGGATCTGCCACAGATTTAGCAAGTTTGGTTTAAGATTGGTAACCTTGGAAATGAATTCTTGTTGATTCAAATCCCAAACAAGCCTTTAAGACCATTCAGTGACAATTTGAAACATTCGATATTTTTTGCAAATACAAATCCCAATTCCTAATGACATCAAAGTATGCAGATGTTCAACAAGTAGTTTTATGGCCAAATAACACAAACAGTTATTTCTTCTCGTGAAGATTTGAACTCTTAACTTTTTATTTTGAAAAACAAGTAATTACCGCTAAGTTGCCATCTTTAAAGACTTCGAAAAAAAAAGGTGTCACTTTTAGGGAATCGTGACTCACAAATTGAATAGTTGCACTTTTCCAAAAGAAACTCTTTTTAGGACAAAAAAAAAAAATATTACCATGTCATAATTTAGAATAAATTTTTTTAATTATTATTTTACCTCAAAATAAATGGAGCCGTAGTAAAAAAAGAAAAGAAAAATGCCCTTATCAGTTTTGTTCTCAAATATCAACTTATTTGGCTAGATAAACATTTCAAGTAAAAAGACAGATGCAAGATAACAAAAGAATTTCAAAAGAAAATTGGAATGGTGGAAAGATGCTTTAGAATCGAAAAGATTGATAACTAGTGGTACTAACATCGTGTATATTGAGAGTAAATTTAATAAAATATGTGACGGTAACAATTCAAAACTAAATAGTTATTCAAAACGTGACTTTCGTTATCTGTAATCGATAATATAAGGGGTTGGAGAAATAGATAGAGATACAACTACTACGATTGGAGGCTGTTGGACATAATGGGAATAAACTAATGATTTTATTTATTTATTGTAATAAAATAATAACACATAGACTAAATGAAAATTTCTATAGAATTGTCATTAAACCAACTATAACATACGGAGCGGATGGGAGTATTGAGTCATAAAAAAAAAACAAGAACAATGCTTTCATGCAGTGAATTAAGAAAAAACAAGAACAATGCTCTCATATAGTGAAAATGAAAATATTAAGATTGCTGAGTGACGTGACTAGAAGAGATAGAGTTCCTAATAAGAATGTGAGAGAAAAATTAGGTGTAACCGCGGAGATTAAGGTAAAAATAATGACAAACATTATTATTCTTATTAAATATCTTTATTAAATAAAAAAAATAGGGATGCTAAAGTGTTCAGTCTTTTATTGAACACTCGTTAAAAAAAATAAAATAAAAAGGACATTGAACACTCATTAAAAAAAATAAAATAAAATGAAAAGGACATGTGCTTGTATCAATGGCTAATAAAAAGAAGGGTAAAGTACAATAGTATCCCGTGAAATTTGTCATAAGGACAAACATATACAAGTTGGTTATTTTTTAGACAATGACAACCCCTGACAGAATTATATTCAAAATAAGGCTTTAAATGGTTCAAAAAGATGAAATTGCTCCTTAATAGTAAAATAAGTTTTATTGTAAAATATCATACATGTTGAAATATCTAAATTACACTCGAGTAAATATGAGTCACAAAATGACACCAATTCATTGTGCTGAAATTCATTATTTTCTCTAAGGTATTGTAATATTGATATGAAACTTTTACCAAAGGTTCCTCTGTATGTCTAGTTACTCTGAATTTTTTTATAATTTTTGGCCAAACAGATATTTTTATAAAAATTCCACAACAGTTGCTGTTTTTAATTTATTTATTTGATGGCCTTCTGGACATGGATCATCACCAAAATATTTAATTTTCTACTTCCACGAGTCTATTTTTCAAAACATTTTCGTTTGCTCTGTTTCGATTTCAAATGAATTTTCTATAATTTTTTTATTCATTGTTGTGTAGATTTTTCCTCTCCACATTTTTTTTTTTTTTTCAATTGGTACTCATACACATGGCTTCACCGAAATTCGAATTCCTTACATCCCTTTGAAAAGTAGGGGTTTGGTACTGCTAGGCCACTCGTTGGTTCTCCACTTTTTTGCATCAAATGTTAATGATGGGTAGATTTAGGGACGGATCCACATTAAAGGCAGTGAGGGCAATTGTCCCCAGTGATTTTATTTATTTATTTTTTTTGTTTTAGCATTATACCCTTATAATTGTTCATTTTCAATAATATACTTATGAAATATTATATTTATCCTCCTAAAATTACTTAAAAAATGCACTATTGCCACCCAAAATTCATTTTTGCCCTCCTTACCTTACATCCTGCTCCGTTACTGGGTAGATTGGTCCAATTCATTAAGTTGTAAAGTTAGAAAGGTCAACTAAACAGTCAAAGAAAAAATTGGTCAATTCTCTATGTATCATATGTAACAGGTGGCTATAGGGTGTTTTTGTCAAAATTTTCAAACTGTAAGGGTGTCATTATTCGAAAAATAGCCAACTTGTATATGTTTGTCATTATGGTAAGCCTCAAGGGGTGTTACTTTGTTCTAAAAGGAAAAATTAAATTTTTTATTATAGAAATTAATTAAAAAAAATGATAGTAGGATGACATTAAGTGGGACAACACAACCGCGTTGATTGGCCATATTTCTCTCTACAATGCTCAACTGGTGATGACGTGGCAGCCCTAAAGTCGTTGGATATGTTGAGGACTTTATTCGATTTAGATATCTATAGGAGTATATCTATCTCAATACCAACAAAAATTCCACATTTAAAAAGTTACTTCAGAGTAGAGAGTTTGATAAAGAGAGTGAGTTCTTCCAGGGTTTGTCAAGAAACCCTAGCTTTTAGGGGTTTTTGGCTCTTCATTATTGCTAGGGTTTCGAACATTCTTACATTTCTCTCTGTAATTAGGTTTCCCTTTTTTTTTTTTTTTTTTTTTTTTTTTTTGTGGGTTTTGTCGATTGATTGGGTTCCATAATGGTGGAGTCTGATCAGAACAAGCTGTTCGTGGGAGGAATCTCCAGGGAGACAACTGCAGACACATTGACCGATCACTTCGGCAAGTATGGCGTTGTGGTTTGCTCTGAGATCCGCAAAGATCGCAACACCCGAGTCCCTAGAGGTTTCGGCTTTGTTTCCTTTTCAGACGCATCTGCAGTTGACAAAGCCCTTCAAGACACCCATGTCATTCTTGAGAGAACGGTCTGTTCTTGTTCGTATGACACTCTCATTCTTACTTCTGATGATATATAATTATAACATGATTTTTGTACTCTTTTTATGCTTTTAATTTCTGGGTTTTCTTCTTCTTTTTTTTTTTGGAATTTTCTAGGTATGCTTGAACGCCCCTCTATCTGAAAATATTTATTTATTAATTAAATTCTTGTAAAATTGGCACCTTTGCTTGTTTTTTTCCCTTCTTCTAAATTTAATGTTTAATTTTATTTTTTCTAATTTTTCATCTGTGTGTAAAGGTTGCAGGGAGAAAATCCATATAGAATTTTTTTATTTTTTTATGGAATTTCATTTTTTTGGGGGTTTCTTTCCAAGAAATCAGTGATAAATATTTCTTTCTTTCTTGTTAACCCCCCTCCCAAATTTTTTATTTTAAAAAATGAGATATAAAAATTGTGCTTTTTTTAATTTTAATTAATTAATTATTACTATTATTATCTTTTGGGTTGTTTGAATTTTCTTCTATTTGCAATGTTTTTATAGGTAGAAGTGAAAAAAGCAACATCTAGAAAAGAGCAACAGCAAAATCAACAACTGAATAGAGGATTTAGTAGCAACAATAGAAGTAATGGTAGGAGGAACGGGCAGTTTAGGACACAGAAAATTTTTGTAGGGGGTTTACCGCCTAGTCTAACTGAGGATGAGTTCAAGAGTTACTTTGAGAAGTTTGGTAGAATTACTGATGTAGTTATAATGCATGACAGTATGACCAAGCGGCCTAGGGGTTTTGGGTTTATCACGTTTGATTCCGAGGATGCTGTCGAGGATGTTATGCAGAATAACTCCTTCCATGACTTAAGTGGCAAAGTTGTTGAGGTCAAGAGGGCTGTGCCAAAAGAGGGAAATTACTTTAGTAACAATGGTTATGCAGCAAGACTGGGTTTAGGAAGAGGGTCTACCTTTGACAGTTACCCTACTGGGAGTTACCCGATTTATAGCAGATATGGTATTCTTCCAGGTTATGGGCCTCCTTCACCATATGGTGTTACTGCAGGATATCCTTATGGAACAAGCTTCTTTGGTGGTGGGTACTTTGCTGGAGGATTTGGTGGAATTGGTTATAGGGTGCCTGCAGTTGTGCCTGGGAGTCCTTGGAATGGCCATTCAGTAATTGGTGTTGGGGGAAATCCAATGCCTTATGGCAGCACTGCTTCTGTATACCCTCCGACTCCGTACTTGAATGGTGGGGTTGGAGTAATGCCTTCTGCTGCGAATGGATACAATGGGATTATGGGTATGGGAGCGAATGAATAATTGAGTCAAATTTATGGTGGTGATGCACAGGTTGTAGCTCAGATCAATGGAGGAAATGTAAATGTCTGTTCTTGTAGTTTGGATGGAAGCTGGGGTACTGCCGCTAGCAAACAGAACCAAAGAGGTATTGATGGCCGATTTATGCCTTACACGATTGGTAATTCTAGTTGACTACTTGCACCCCTTTTATGGGCACTGGCAGGTTTGTAAATTCTCTACACTAATGTTGTTAGGGCTGCTTTACCATCATTGGTCAAATGTCCTGTCTATCAATTCTCTTTTTCTTTATTACAACGATGTTGCTAGCTATGTGTCATATCTAGTTTCAATAACTATGGGTACACGATTCAGACTTCTATAATATAATTGTTTGGGTTCACTTTTGTTTTTTACTGTGCTTTTATAACTTCAGTGCATATGAATGGAAATTTAGGTTATGAGCTTGCACCCAAGGAAAATTCATGGTCATTAATAGAAACAAAATGTTGTTTTCTTTGGGTATTCACTGCATTTTAACCTTGTTAAAATAATTCCCAATTTTGGTGCTTCAATATTATTAGTTGCCAACTTCCCATGTTCTTAGTTTTCCGATCTGTCACATAGTTCTTAAAGATACTCTTTCACTGTTAGCATGGTTGTTTGCCCTTCTGTTGACCTTGCCTATATTTTGTCTATTCAACAGGAAAATTTGCTTGTACCGTCCGCTTGGTACCATCGTCACCATCGTCAATAGTTGTTGTTGGGTTGGGGGTTAGGTTTCAGTGTCAAATTATTCATTCTTTGAATTTACCCTTCTATTTTTTGTGTTCTTGCATGGCTATGCTGGCGGTATACTTCCTTTTGGGTTATCTATTGTTCCCATGATTGTTACGATTTTCTTGTTTGCCTTTGGTGCAAACTTCTAGTAGTAATTTTTTTTTTTTTTTTGGAGCTCTATTGTTACTTTTTACCTACACCATTAGTATTATAGGTTTGTTTCATTGAGACTTGGATTTGGAACTAGTTGAAAAGCCAAATTGGTTCTTCCCAGTGGTTGATGCTCTTCTTTCTCATTTCTGGTATGCATGCCTTTCATTTAACAAAGTCATCTCCCGCGTTGCGGCCAGGCTTGGTTCGAACTCTTGTCAGTTGGAAACTCTTTAGATTATAAGAAGTTTGCCTGTTCTAATTTGCATCCATTTATTTTCCCCTTCAATTTTTGCCTCGGAAAATTCAGTTAGAAAATGTGGATTGATTACATTAATGTTGTCATCCGTACTTCTGAACCATGAATTAGAAAATGTTCCTTGTGGGCTGATGTGTCCTGTTGTTAGTTTGGAAATTGGTTTTGAATCTTTGCATGGTAGAAGACATTTTTGTGCATGTTCTTTTCAGTTGTAGGTGGACATTTGGTAGAACTGAATTGACCTAATCAGCTAATTAAGTAGTTGGTACAAGGCTATTACCTATGTGCATAAAAGTTTGTTGATTTGATTCCACTGTTGGAGGTAAGGGGTTCAAGGGGCAATTTCCCCTACCAAAAAATATCTCTTACAGTGTGTGTAGCCATGCTTGGAGGCCAATAACAAAAGGAGTGTCACTATAGAAAACAAATGGGTGCGGCTCTCCGCTCGTGCTTTTGCTCCCGCTCCAGTTCCCGTTTCCACTCTGTGCAACTTAGATTTTTTTGCTTTCGAATTAGTTACTTGTCATTAATTAATTAATTAATTTATTTATTGTTTTTTTAAAAAATCAAACTTAAAAGTAATTGAACCTAAGACACAGTTTAACAAGGGCATGGTGTGTTTCTTGACTTTTTCCTTATTTTGGGCTGGTGAGACGCATTCACATCCATTATTTGTCCTATTTGGCATTTGAACACGAACCTTTCATTTGGAGGAAATGTATATATATATATATACAGAAAATGATTTAAAATTAGATTTTTCTTCTTTACTTGCTCGTATGTTTTCTGTCATGTTTTATTTGTCACCTTATTTTCTATGATAAGCAAATAAGTGCGAAAATGATTTATTATTTTTCTTGCTAAATCCTCCATCCAAACATAGCCTAATGGTTATCTAACCAGGTAAGATATTGGCTCTATATTGAACTAATTAAGCAGGCAAAAACTCATCCAGGAATTGAAACCTTTTCATGCCCAATGGTTAGAATCTAAATTTATTATGCCCCAAAGCATTTTCATAATCCGACCAAAAATCAAAAGTTCGAATTTTTGGGGGTTATCAAAATCAAAAGTGTAGGGGTTATCAAATCAAAAGTTTTCAAAAAATAATTCAAACCGCAAAGCATTTTCATAATAAAATTTTAATACTTAATTTTCAGTTTTATTAGGCCGCACTTAAATCTTTAAAGGATTTAATACATTATTCTCTATCCAAAATTTAAAACTATGTATTTGAAATTTAGAAATTCATGCTATAAGTTGAGAAATAAAATCCCTATTAATTGACAGGAAGCAAATTGAGCGTGGCCTCCACCATAACACGTAAAATTAAAAAGGACGAGATAAAATAGAAATTTGAATTTAGATGGATAAATAAATTTCTATGAAAATGTTAATACTTGCACCCCTTCCACTAAATCGGCTTACGAAAAGAATTTAAAATAAAAAAGTTATTTGGTTGTTAAATTTTTTGAAGCTCTTTTAACTATTAACATAATTTAACTTGACAATTATATCCTTAATAGATCATGAATAATAGCAAATAGTTGAATTGAATTGAAATGTACAAAGAAGGGAAGAAAAAAGAAAATCATAATTAAAGTGATAGAGTGAAATTGCCAATGATGCAGCAACGATTAATTGGCATAGTGAAGATCTGGTATACAAATTTAACCCAACCCAATCTACATGCTAGAAAGTTGTTGTTGTTGTTGTTTTTTTTTTTTTCTCTCTCTCTCTCGACTACATGATAGAGTTGAAAGAGATGGAAAAAGAAAATGAAACAAAAAAATATCTCATTTAAAAAAGAGGGTTGAATTTTGGATGAGAGTTCATAAATCTTGAAACTCTTCCGACTTTGAAGTCAAATAGAAGTTAATAGTAATTTTTTCTAAAACTCTTCAATCTCTTTGTTCTTCCTTTGTTGAATTTTTTTTCAACAATATATTTTTTAATAAAGTTCTATAAAATTTTACTTAGTATTATTTTTTAATTTTTTGGATAAAAAAACTAACGAAGAAGATGATACAGAAAGAGAAAGATAAAAGTTTGCAATGAAATTCAGAAAAGAAAATAGGTTAAATAATTGACAATATATGAATTTTATATTTATTACTTGGAAAAAGTATGTAGCTTGCGAGGAAGTCGACCAAAAAGTATGTTTTATTGGCTTTGGTTAATTAGACTTTTTAAAAGTTCGTTTTTAAAAAATTTACCAAATGACTCTTTATTATTGACAAAGGATTTTCTGGGTTTAGAAGCCCGTTTTGAAATTACAGAAAGTCCAGCCAAACAGACCTTTAATTTGAGACCACTTTTGACTTTTCAACAAATAAGTCATTTTCTATTTAAGACAATAAATAAATAAAAAAATGTTAATATTTAATTTGAGACGAGTAGTTCATTTTTTTATTTATTTTTTATTTTTATTTTTGAGTAGTTCATTGAAAACATCCAACTCTTGAAAACAAGATTGGTCCAGTGGTCCCACAGAGCGTATTCTCATCCGCTTAACACACACGTGTGTGTAATGTGTGTGCATATGGCTTTTGGAAACACCGAAATTGGTGGCTAACACCGACCCGGTCAGTTTTGGTTTGTAACTCACACGAACAACACCACCACCAATGCTGATGAACCATGCGATGCCTCTGCTCGGCCAAGCTCCGATTAGAGGAGGAGTAGCTCTATCAGCCTCTGCAAGTGTGCAATTCAGCAACCCAAATCCAACATTGTTCTCCAATCGCCGTTCCAAGTTCTTTCCCATAACCAAAAGATGCCTCAATTCCCTCACCGTTGTTGCAAACGCCGACGCCGGTGGCGGCGCTCCTCCTGCCACCACCGACAAATCTAACCCTCCTTTCAACTCTGACAAGTCGGTTTCATTCGTCGGCCAAGAAAGTGTTCCCTTGGAAGGTGTTATTCAGTTCGACAAACCCAATTCGTCTTCTCTTATCAACAAGTGGGGGTACGCTTTTTCATTCCACCCAACTCTCAATTTCATCTCTATTGCTACAAATATATATATATATATATATATATATATATATATATATATGAATATGTGGTTCAAATTATGCTATTGGGTTTTGTATGTTCAGTCGTGTGGCTCTGCTTGCTGGTGGGGATGTGTTAGCTTTGCTTCTGTTCTCTGCAATCGGAAGGTTCAGCCATGGTTTTTCTGTTTTTGACACTGAAACCCTAAGAACGGCTGACCCTTTTGTAGCTGGTATATGTGTGTGATTGTTCTATGTTCCTTTTCTTTTTTTATTGGGCATAAATTTGATGATTTGGAGCTGAATTGTTGTTCTTGTTTCTGGGCATTTGGCATTTAACAGGATGGTTTTTGGGTGCTTATTTCCTTGGGGGGTTTGGGGAGGACGGCCGAGGAATGAATGGTTTCTCTAAGGCTGTTATTGCTGCTGCCAAATCTTGGTCCGTGGGTATTCCAGTAAGTTCATCAAATGTTCTTTAAAATTTAAATTCCTTGCACTTATTAATTTTATTAGTATTCAACATGTATTCAAATTCTTTATTTTCTTATTTGATTAATTCATAATGTTACGAACAATATGGTTATATAACCAGCAATATGAGCTAGGGGAAAAAAATGCCAGCAATCTGAGCATGGAATTGTCAAGTTGAATTTCTACACTTCACTTTACTGAATTTCCTAGCTCATGGTTTGATGGTTGAACAATAGTAGGTTGTAGATATCGATTATGGATTGGTGTGCTTGAATTTATAATTTTAACTTGCATCAAGGACTATAATGGGTTTATATGTTGGCGTTGCAAGAGTTTGGTTGTTCATTTTTAAGTGTACTCTTGATCAAGCAGCTAATCTTCCTCTTGATCATGATAGTTGATGGTTTAATAATCTGTTTTAGTTCAGCTAGTTGCCATGCATTGCTGGATATTTACAGCATTTGCACCCGGGAAAAAAAGATTTGGGTTAAAATTTACACCTCGCTGAATATCAGACTAGTTACACGCAGTCTTACAGGATACGTCTCGTCACTTTCTGATATCTCCATAAATATTTGAAATATGAATAACAGTGAGATAAATAAGGTAATCAATATTGCATTGTTAGTTGTGCAATATGAGATGCAATTTATTTCTATGACAAATTTCTTGATACTAGTGGAGATTCTTGGTCTTTCGATGTTTCACTGCTTTATGTGAATCATGTTACTTCACGGTCTTGAATCAGACTGAATTTGAAGATTTTTAGCAAAAACTTTTGTGTGGCTTCACAATGGCTATAAGTACTGGGCTAGCAAGCACTACTGAAGAAGAAACAGATTTTGATTAGCGATTGCATCAAAGTAGATAATAGTTGGTTGTGATTCCAAGAGGTGGGTGGCTAAGAGCGCTGTACGTCGGAGGTTCTGCTAGTAATTCTAGTGCCAGAGTTTACATCCTTGGATTAGTATAATTTGGTTGTTGTATTTCTTCTACATAGTGGAGTGTTTAGCTCAGGACCTATTCTCTGTGGTTTTTCCTTGTTTGGGTTTTCTACATAAAGAATTTTGTATCTCTGTGCTTGCTTATTACTTTTAGTTGTTTGAATGGTTTGCTTAAAAATTGATAATCATTAGTTTACTGATGGAAACCAATAAAAACACAATTAAAAAGAAACTAACACAAAAATAATAAATATGACTCAAGAATTCCTATCGTTGGTTTTAAAAATAAAAACTAAACTAGAGCAAAAGCAACCTATTCACCCCCCCCCCCCCCCCCCCCCCCCCCCCCCCTAGGTTTGTTTCACATATGAGAACCCAGCTGGACTGCTGCACAACTCATAAGATCTTTTGTTAGCTTATCATGTGTCTTTTTCACACTCTCATTTCATGTAATCCTCTTTTGCCTGCATATTTTTTATCACAGGGGATGGTTGCTTATCACAGTCATCTTTCTGCAAGTATTTCCAATGATGGATCAGTAAAACATGGAGGACAGAAAATTCTCAATTGCTTTTACATTTTGTCTTCCATTTTTAATGTTGTGGGTAATGTTTCCTTCAATCTTTGTTGAGAGTATAACCAAGGAATTAAATGGATGCATAAAGTTTATGCTTACAGTAAAAGTTGACTCAAGTTTGGATTAATGGAATTTTTATTTTATTTTATTGCAATTTGTCAATAATGTTAGATACATTATTTCAAATTTACGACTGTTTCCAATTTGCAAGATATTGATGCCATTTAGGAAATATCTAATGGATCCTACGCTTGACGTATATCCTCATACAGCATTATAGCTTCAAGGCCTTCAATTGATTAATTATTGATATTGATAATTCCACAAGCATTTTTGTATGGTGATTTGTGCAAGCTTAATTATAAGATTGAATCAGATTGCTTATAGTTGTCCTAAAATCTGATTTTGAATCTTTGATATGAGGATTTCAATATTTCATGGTGTTTCTGGCACAACTAGTAAAGGTTGAGATTATCTAGACCAGTTGGTTTACAAACCTTGTAATGTTAGATTAATGACATAATGGTTTCTTTCCATGAACTTGTTAAGGAAAGAATGAGAAGTTACAAAATATGGAAGGACATATGAGATAGAGGAGGGGAGGCATATGAATTGAGGGTGCTTCTGTTTAGTATCTTTTACCAGTGTGAAATATGTGAACACTTAACACTTGTCAGTTACTGCTTTAGGTGCCACAATGTTACAAGTTTCCTTTCCTCCTGAGGTTTCCTTGTCGTGCTCATTTAGTTGACATTTTTGTCTAACAGTGTTATCAGAAATCTATGCATCTCATTAACTAACACTTGCATTGTAGGTGATTTTGTTTTGATGGTACCTTATACAGCATCTTTGTATGCAACAAGGTCATTGTTGTGCAGATGTGCAAAACCTAAAAATGGCGTATCGTTGTAGAATCATGTAGAGAAAAGAGATAAACAGACAGCATACTATGAAATTTCTGATCTATAGCCTTGAAAGTTTCACGGTTGATTTCTGAACATGTGAATTTGTGTGAGCTTGAGTAGGCACATTTTTTTGCATTTTAGCTGAGTCTATTTTAATTTGTAATCCGTCTAACAATTTCTTTAACTTTGGTTATTTATGAATCTATTTTTTTCTTTCTCTATTTGCCTTTTCTTGGCAGGTGGGAATGACGATAAGGGCAGCAACAATAGGCCATATTCCGCCACCTAACTTTATCCTAGTAACCATGGGAAGCACTGCTTTTCTACTTATTGGATGGAGAGCACTATTGTCCAGCATTCTCCCTAGTGACAAAAGCAAGAAGGATGATGACTACAGGCGTGGCAGTCCATTTGAGCTGTTTGAGGTAAAGAAAATTTTCTTACTTGATCATCAACTTGAAATTCATAGTAGTGTATTGGCTTCTCATTTTAAGTCTAGTGACTCCTCATCTCAGATACTTTTATATTTTTTCCGACTTTACCAAAGGAAAAAAAAATGATATACTATCCTTCCTTGATGACTGGAATGTCTTTCAGATATTTAGAATTGCTTTCTGGTTAGAGAGGGTGTAACTTTAATGTATAAATCCTTTACTTCCTTTGTCCCACTATACATGTTCTCCATGGGGAATCCAACTTTTTATGGTAGTGGAATTTTAATAGTTTTTTATTGTATTGATAAGAGTGAAGTTTCAAATATGCCCTTACTAAAAGACAAAATAGTGCTCCGTAATTAGTGCAGTTGTTTAGTTAAAAGGATAGTTTGGGAATGTTATAAAAAATAGTACATTCAATTTTGGAAAAGGACATGTTTTTTGGGACATCCCAAAATGGAAAGATGGACAACTATTTTGGGACGGAGGGAGTATGTTAGGCGTATTTGGATACATGTGTCAAGTGTTTGCATGTCTCTAAGCATCGGATTTCAGTGGGCTGAGAATGCGGCTTGCCTGTCCCAGAAACAGGTCACAATTCGACTTGATAAGAGAAGAAATGGTGTTGGAAGCCGATTACCCATTACAGGGACAAAGAGAACCATTATAAAATGGTGATGTTTATTACTACTATTTATAAGTTTTTCTTTTCTATTTTTGTAACTTATTTATTCTTATTATTATCTGGATTTTCTGTTTTTGAGTCCTATTCTTTTGTAAGAAAACTGTCCTTCATACATCAAACATGGAATTTAGTTACAGTTCAATCGTGGAGAGCAGGTTTTAGTCCATTTTTTAATGATTCATAAGTTTCTTAATAACCTTTGTCAACTTCTTGAGTAGTTGAAATGGAAACTGATTCCCCAAATTAGGCTTGATTTTCCTCATTCAGAATAACTACTTTTATCTTCAGAATGAGGAAAATCAAGCCTAATTTGGGGAATCAGTTTCCATTTCAACTACGCAAGAAGGTGATGAAGGTTACTAAGAGATGTATGAATCATAAAAAGGTGGGGTGGACTGAAACGTGCTCTCCACCGATTGAACTGTAACTAAATTCCGCGTTTGATGTTTGAAGGACAGTTTTCTTACAAAAAAAGAATAGGACTCAAAAATGGAAGAATCCAAAAAATAATAATAAGATAAAAAAATAGACAAGAAAAATTTAGAAATAGTAATAAACATAAACCATTTTCTGATGGTTCTTTCTGTCCCTGTATTGGGATAATTGTTTTCCAACACCGTTTCTTCTCTTACCAGTTCGAAAGTGACCTGTGCCTGGAGGACGGAGGACAAGCAAGCCAAACTCTTAGCCCTTCCAAACTGTTCTATTCCGTGGTACTGAAACTCAATAACCTCCTTCGAGGTTGAAATACCCAAAACCTAGGACCCGCTAGTACTGCTAAATAGTTGTACATGTTTTCTTTTTTGAACATTCATTATAAATACTTCCATCTTTTTTAAGTAAATCTTGTAATGTATAATTATATAGTAAATTCGAATTATAAGATAATGTTTAATAGGCGCATTTCCAACTAGAAAGTCACACATCATCCCACACCCATGAGTACATATGATGATATGTGACATAGTTCGAGGATATTCAGCATCCGTTAGAATTTCTTAATGAACCCTTTCGTTTTCGCTTCTGTTACCGTGCTTAATGATGAAAGATGCTTTGCTGAGATCTGTATGACATAGGAAATTATTTGACATAAATTAGCATTTAATTTATTTTTGTGTTCCATATGATTGATGTGAAGGCAGATATAGATGTTGATTCTTAATTTATTTCAACTGCCGCTACTACATTATTTTTAAATTTTTGTTCGTTTCCTTCCCTCACGAGCTTCTAAATGGAGCATTGTGATTTTTTTAACACTTGTAAAATAAATTTTCACTCTAATTCTTAGGGAAGATGCATACCATTTACAAATAAATCTAGTTGACAGTATATATACATTGTTCTTTTGGTGCAGTTGCTCACATCTTTAATCCGAAGGTGGTGAAATAGTGATCATCTGTTTGGCTTGGACCATTAGCTCTCCGAAATGAAGTTTTGCAGTTTCTGTATCCAAACACTCCTTGTACTTGCAGGCAACAATTGTAACCAGTGAAAATAAAAAATTCTTAGATGTCGTTTTTGTTTTTTTATTTTGTATTTATTATTTATTTATTTTTATTTTATGGTTTACAGTATTTTGTCTAAGTTTCAATATAATGGAAGTTGCTGGACTCTCTTACTGCTTGGAAAGAAGCTTAGAATCCCCTACTCTTTATAAGTCTGAAAATCATTACACACACACACAAATCATTTGCATATCTATGTTACCTTAAATTTAACACACCCTGTAATCTAGTTTTTAGGGGTTTTTGTATATATGAGCAACAAGGGAAAATTGCAAAACAAATAATATAAAAAACTTACTAACAAAAAATAATAAAAAAGGAGGTATTTTAGAATACCTCTTACTCTCATCATCTTCACCATCTCTACCAAGCCTTGAACCTTGGCCGACAGTTTGGAACCTGGTGTGTGTTACCAAAGAAGACACAAGGAGCTCGGTGTAAATGGATTATTTATTAAAGATACTATAACTTTGGAAGCCGCTCACATTGAATAAAATTATGAAGAATTAGGAGATTCTAATTCCATTTAATCACAACCCAAAGGCAAACGTTTTAACCCTTTGTACTAATTAAGAACTTTTAATTAAAGCCTCTTATAGTACTTGATGCAAATGGAAACACAAGATAAGAATACCCAAAAGAATCACAATACATCTGCTTTGAGATGGAAATTTTTAAATATTAACCGCTTCATATATATATGTGTGTATATATATATATATAATTTTGAAAAAAAAATTTCACTGAAAGAAACTAAACATAGTGGATATTTAGATAAGTAATAACATACATGTAATAACATGATATGTTCCTGTTGGCCAAATTTAAATTTGTAGATGTTTGGGAAGGGTGGAACAAGAAAAATCCTTTCTTAAATTATAAGAAGTCCAAAATAATTACTACGTATAATAGATGGATTTAATGAAAATTTAAAAATATAAAAAGTAAAATATAGTAACATTTTGAGATTTGTCAAAAGGACATATAGATACAAGTTATTTTATTTTTGGACATTGACACTTCCTCACACTTGATAAAATGGACAAAAACACCCTTACAATGATGAATTGACTATATTACCCTTTGGTATTAAATTGACAATTATAACCCTTTTTATTGACTAAAATACCCATTTGATTTGTACATATAAGATTTTAACCAAATTTACAGATAAGATTAAGGTTCATGTATACGTCTTTCCTACTGAAGAGCAAGTTGGTTATCCAAATCTCTCCCAAGTTTGTGGGTTCAAGTTATAGTCTCATTCTCACATCAGAATTGACTTTTGTTGTAGCCTTGTAAAAGGATTGCAGTTTATCTAAACATCATTTCATTTCATTTACTATAATCTTTTTACATTTGAAAGCCAAAGGAGCCATATGTAAATCCGAATATTGTCTGATAAATTCAAGTTTTTCCCATTATGCTGAAGATTGGTATTTTGGTTAACATGTACTAGTTTGAAGAGGGCCTCAACAGTCACCGACTACCATCGCTCGACGCCATCAATTACAAGGGCAACATCTTTTCTTTGACGACGATGGCGATCGAGACGTCCTCGACGCATTGAAGATTCAGATCGGGGTCCCAAAACACATCCTGAAAAAGATTCAGATCGGAGTCGATGGTGGCGACGGTCACTGCTGTGTTGCATTGTCCATAGAAGCTGGCAAGATCTGGGTGGTGGCGGTGGTATATATATATATATATATAGAGAGAGAGAGAGAGAGAGAGGGCCTGGGGGGAGGCATGGGTAATTTAGTTATTTAATTATTTTGATATTTTATAATTAAAATTAATTAAACAATGAAGGGTAAAGTGAATTTTTCACGTAATTTTAGGTTCTATTTGAATTGCAAATCTTAGTTTATTGTCCAAAAATAGACAATTTGTACCTATGTGTCCAAGAGTGAGCACTTCACTCCCCTAGCTGAGACCTCCGGCCACTATCTGACCTAACCTTGAGTCACGTTACATATATTTTTATATAATGACGAATTTACCCTTTAGCATGACTCTTGTACCCCTTTCACTATATGACCCAACTTGCAAGCCCTATCACACACAGTTCATCTTTTTTGTTTTGGACCTTGGTTCTCTGTCTCTTACAACAGCTCTATGGATGTTCTTCACTGTATTCAAACTTCATGACCTTGTAATCTATTTTGTTAAGCAGAGGAAGTTATAGTTTGTTTTACACCCGCATAAAACCGACCCACCTTTCCTTATACTATGCGATTCAAAAATAATATGAAATTATTGAAATCTGAATAATGGTGGACAGAGACTACCTTTTGTTTTAAAAATAATATTCAAATATAATATAATTTAATCTAATTGAATAAAAATTGCATGCTAATTACAGCCTTGAATGAAATTGGAATATTATTGTAATTAGAAAGTCCTATATATATTTCTTACATTAAATTTAATAAGAATTGTTAAACCAATATATCAAAGTAATATCAAGTAAATCAAAAATAAAAACAACCCATTCATAATGGCATATTCGAAGACTGGTCAAAATTAGCATGAAATTAATATATATATAGAAATTAGTGAAGTTAATTTCCTGAAGTAGTTTGCATATAGTATTATACATATCTAACCAAGACTTACAATCAAAAGTTCGTGTTTGAAGATCAAACCCTTCTTTAATTTCAACTTCTCAAATCCAACAAAAATAAATACATAAATAAATATATAAAATTATCATTTACAATTTCATAGACAATTTGAAACCGGAGAATAAAAAATTGATGGCGGCCATGAGTGAGTTTGGTATCGTAGAGCAAAAATTGTAACTGAGATCGAGGATTCGTAGAGTACGAAGCTGACCTAGGGTCGCTGGAATCTCGACAGAGATGAAATTCCTGCTTACCGCAAGAAACCGTACGTTGTTCAACTGAGATAAAGTTTCAGGCGGAGGGCCGATAATCTGACCCAGGACAACGATGAACTCAGAGAGAGCAGAGAGTTTACCAATTGCAGGATCAAGTCGTCCGGTCAGACTGGGCGAACTGGCCCTCGAGTCACCGAGATTCAAAGTGATGACCCTGTCGCCGTCGCAATACCTGACCGGGCGAACTGACCCTCGGGTCACTGAGATTCAAAGTGATGACCCTGTCGCCGTCGCAATACACGCCGGAGAAGTCGCATGGCTCCGTCGTGAAATCCCACATGGAGAAGAAGTCAGATCCTGACATGTCTTCTAGGGCATTTCGAATGGATTGTAGTGCCAAGAAATCAATGAGGGTCCAAAATTGCTTTTGTGAATAGAATAAATTGAAGAAGAGATAACAAGTAAACTAAACCTATAATCAAAATCGCTTTCTTTCTCAACACCTACTTCATCTCGAATATGATTTAGTATACTTGAATCTTCAACTACAGGAGAGAAAATTATGAGCTATGAATTTTTGGTGAGAAATGGGTGTAAAGAGCTTTAATGGAGGTAGAGAGAGATTTTACTACTGTACCCGGCAAAGCTACCAATTTTTGGTGGAAAATGGGTGTAAAGAGCTTTCAGGAGTTAGAGAGAGATATTGTACTACTGTGATCAGGGAAGCGCAATGATTATACTACTGTACTCTGCAATTTGGAAACCACCCGTTTAACCCTTTAAGGGTATTTAGGGAAATTTGCAATATGCATGCTTTTTTTTTTTTTTAAATGTTAATTAGATGGGGTATTTTTGTAATTGCACAATCATGTCTGAACAGAAAGTGGATTCCGGCGATGAAGGGGGTGAAGTGCTTGCTTTTAGAAGTACTACAACTGAGTTGCTCAATTTTTTAGTTCAGGTTTTTTTTGTTCATTTACTAAAAATTCTAGGGATATTTGGCACTTTTGCCTATAAAATATTAAGGACGATGATATTAACGCCCCAAAAAAATCTTAGGCGCTGCACTTTATTTTTATTTTAACCTCAATGCAATGACTGGAATAACCTAAATCACATATATTAAACTGTATCTTTGTATGCCTCCTCATTTTCTAGGTCTTTTTTTAATCTATATGTTGTTTTTATCCAACAAAAGTCACCACTATACTCAATCATTAAAAAATCTAAAAAATAGTAAATTTAGGCAGGTGGGCGGGCCAAGGGGGTTAGCCCAGGCCAAACCCACAATTCTAACACCTCTGTTCATGCCAAGCCCAAGTCCTGAGGAACCGATGACATCTCAACCCGCCCCATATCGCATGGGTTACATTGGTTTTTCAGGTTTCTCGAGTCATCCCAAATGGTAATATCCTACTAATAAATAACATTGCAAAAGAAAAAAAACGAAAGAAAAGAAAAAATAAAGGGGTATATGCCAAGGTTTTAAATTTTAAACCCAGTCTCAATCCCATAGTCCTAAGTACCTTGTCCACGCTCGTAAAAATTTCATCCGGCGGGGAGAATTGGGTTGCTCGGGTTATTCCCATCTATGTCCCACCCCTAGAAAAGAGTGTAATATGAAAAGTAAAAACTATAGTCCAGATTTAGCAAGATCAAATCAACAACAAAATAAGAAAGAATCCAAATAGTTTGATATGGGTATTGAACCTAGGGAGGACATGGGTATTGAACCTTTGGAGGAGAGGGTTTTGCTCATTAATGGAATAGACTATGATAACAACGGAAACAGGGTGCACAAAAGGTTAATGTTAAGCCAAGAACCCATATTTCAACACATTTACTAAGTCTAGTATGGGGATCTTACTGACCAATTTGTCAAACACCACGAGCATATTATTTTTTTCATGGTTCAAATATGTTATTGGTCTTTTTTGCCATCTATTTATTTAGATAATACATTGGAGTGTCTAAGGATTTTTTTGCAACCTAAAAATCAGCTTTCAAATATTAATACATTGAGAGAACGAACACACTCTTCTTTAAGGTTATGAGCAAACCTTAGCTGAGAGCAAAATGACCATCTCTTTTTTGGGCTGAGAGAACGAACCCTGACGACCATCGTGACTGAGCAAGATGTTTTGAGATTTCTTATATTTTCTATATCTTCTTAACATCAATCCCAGCCGAATCATCGGCTTTGATACCACTTGTTGGGCATAACGGAAGTAAAACAAAGATTTACAGAACCAAATCACTTGAGAAACAATCACAAAATAATACAAAATTTTTGGAGATTTACAGAACAAAATCACTTGAGAAACAATCATAGAATGACACAAGATTTTTACATGGTTCACCCAAACTCAGGGTTACCTCCATGAGGAGATTCCAATATAATCACCTATAGATATTACAATAATGTAAACCCTCTTTACCCATTGGACTCGCACCCTCGTGTAGGGGTGGCAAAAATCGCCAACCCGGTGGGGAACCGCCCCGCCCCCGCCCCATTTAAAGCGAGTTTGGACAACCAATTACTTAAATGGGGTGGGGATGGGGGTTAAAAAAAAACCCGGCCAGTTGCGGGGCGGGGGACTAAGATCCTCGCCCCATAACCGCCCCGTTTAATATTTCAAATTACTAATTTACCCTGCCATGTTAATATATTTACCAAATTAACCTTCACTATATATGTATATATATATTGGAAACCCTACACTTAAGTTTCAAACCCTACACTTAGCAGCTGCAGCTGTGTCTCTCTCTGAGCTGTCTCTCTCTGAGCTCTCTCTCCCTTTCAAACCCAGAATACATCGACCATGTTAGCCGTGTTTCTCTCTAAGCTTTCTCTCTCTCAAACCCAGAATACATCCACCATTTAATTTTGGGGACGAGGTCAGACCATATTAGATCCTGATGAGTCGTTGGAGAATGTGGATAGGGACGAGGTCTGGAGGCTGTTGGGTGAGTTCGCCGTCGTCGAGCCATCGTTGGATGCTAAAGCGGTCGTAGGTGACTCCGCCGTGGAGAGTCATAGAGGATTTCATGACGTCTAGTGAGATTGGACACTTGAAGAAGTTAGGAATTGTGATGTCCAAACTTTTTGGTTGGTTTGACTGTGAATCTGGAGACTATTGGGTGAGTTTGGGAGGCGGCGAGTTGGTGGGTGATCTGTCGAGATCGAATCGAGTCAGACCAGATCCGGATGAGTCGTTGGAGAGTGTAGATTTTGTAGTTTGTAGTTGCAGAGAGAGAGAGGGCAAGTTCAAAGTTTTGATTTTTTGATTCTTGAACAATCTGAAATGATATGCCGATATGGGTTTTGAACTTTTGATTCTTGCAGACAATAGATAAACTAAAATATATGGGTTTTGACTTTCTGATTCTTGTAGATTTTGTAGTTTGCAGTTGCATAGAGAGAGAGAGAGATAGGGCAAGTTTAGAGTTGAGAACGAGAATAGAGATGGAGGCGACTGGGGAGGCTAACTTGAGTTGCCCTAAAAATATAATCTGTTATGGGCCGGGGGATGGGGCGGGGGCGGGGCAAGTGGGGCGGGCGCGGGGGCTTTATGGGGATTAGAGGTAAAAAATTAATTGGTTATGGGGCGATTTCGGAGGCACCAAAATTAAACGAGGGCGGGGATGGGGAATGGGAAACCCGCCCCAAACCGCCCCATTGCCATCCCTACCCTCGTGAGATTGCCCTTACGGGCTAAACGTCTCTATAACTATTTATAGAGTCCAAAACTAAACTCCTTACTCAACAAGAATTACAATTATATATAGACACACTGAACCGAAAAGAGGAACACTTTAGTCATTTCATATTAAATTAATTTTTTACTTATTTTTTTATTCAATTATAGAGGGACACTTTAGTTTTTTCAGTAGTCAAATAATTGTTTGCTCAAAAATTAAATATTACGAATTTTTTAGAACGTATAGAGGGTTATACACTCTAATGCATACCATATGGGTGTTTTTTGCTCACGACCTCTTTAGTATTTTTAGAATTCAGGTTATTGTTTGCACCAAAATTGAATGTTAAGAAGTTTTTAGAATGTATAGAGTTATATACTCTATATGCATACCATAAAAATATTTTACGCCCACTACCCTATATTATATATATAAAAGAAGACGACATTTTAATCATTTCATAATTAATTAGTTTTTTACCTATTTTTATTTAGTTATAGAGTGACACTTTAGTCTTTTCAGCATTCAGGTCATTGTTTGACCCAAATTTGGATGTTAGAAACTTTTTAGAATGTACAGGGGGTTATACACTCTATATGCTATGATATTTTTCGCTCGTGACCCCCTCCTCCCCCCCCCACCATACACACACACACATTGAGGTATTTTAGAATACCTCATCTCTTGTAATATCCCTAGTTTCAAAAGGATATAATTGGCAATTAATTATTTTATTTGATTGTATTTTAGTTGTGTGTGTGTGCTTAAGTGTTTTTAATTAATTGTTTAAATGCAGTGTTTTGTATTAGTGTTTTGTATTATTTAATTAATTGGATTTCTTGTTTATTTGTTTTAATTTAATAGTATTGTGTTTTATTTAATTCATTGGCTTACTTGTTTATTTGTTTTAATTTAATTCACTGTTGAAATTTAATTCACTGTTTTAATAGGATTCCTGTAAACATCATGGTAGTATATTTAAGTAACAGTTATAGCTTTGGAAAACTATTCAAGTATAGGCAGCCGTGTATATTATAACCTAGATTATTATATGGGCCGACTAAGGTTTATGTTAGGGTTGTAGCTCTAATTAAACAAGGATTAGGGTTTAGTGTGTTACGTTTATAAATACAGTGATCACGTTGGTTAGGGGTTGGAAAAACAGAGCATCGTAAAGGTCTGTCAAGGAGGGGAAAGCTAGGTTGGACCATGGAGGAGGAAGGAAAGGTTGCTCATAGGCGAAACCAAGAGCAACAGAGATGGAACTGTAGTCTAAACCAGTAACGGCACATTCAGAGACAGTGAAATTAGAGTTTCAAATCTGAAACTCAAGGCAAGTTCTTTCCTTTCTCTCTCCCGTTGCCTGTGTTCTGTGCATCCTTAGACTGTCTCTAGGGTTTTAATTGATGATTAATTAATTTATATATGTTTGTTATATGCTATATCAGATGTCTGTATATGTGGAATTAAATCTGTTATAGTTCTTGTACCTCTGGTTTCCAGTTTAGAGTGGAAGCATGTTTAATCGGTTAAGGTTTTTTAAACACTGTAATGGAATTGAATTATTGTGAACAACGCCTAGGGATGTTATGAGATGTTTTTGGGACTCTTAAGACTAGATTTAAGAAGCAACAGATGGGTAGGAAATGGTCGGAGATGGAGCAGATCGTCAGAAACGGCGAAGGAACAACACGAGGCTCTCAAAGGGGAGAGAGCCGGCTCTCCCATGGAGAGAGCCGACTCTAGGCAAGGAGAGCCGGCTCCCCCTTGTGGGAGAGCCGGCTCTAGGCAGGTTAGAGCCTGCTCTTTGATTCTAAGAGCAGGCTCTGTGATCCTTTAAGTGTTCTGAAGCAGTTGGGGCTTGTTTGGTTGAACTGTGGGTTTCAGAACTGTGTTTAGGTTATTGTGATGGTTTTAAACACTAAATCATGGAATATTAATGCCCTAGGATGTATAAAATTATTTAGATGCTAAGGTTTTAAACTGTAGGAAAAATCTAGGGCAAGTCGCAACAGTTTACGAACTTGACGAACCGAAAGAATTTAATGGTGCAAACGGTGTCTAGAAATTAAAAAGGGATAGAACATGGATTATAATCATTGTACCATGCTACGTTAGAGCTACACTTGATAAATTAATGTCTCTGAACTCATGGATTTAACTGTAGGAATGTATACAGTAGTGCAGGTTGTTAACGGATGGAAGAAGTTTAATTGCTTAATTTAGTTTAGCAATTTAATGGAGTATGTATATATTTATAAATTTGGTTGTAGGTGCATGCTAGTATCATTTAATTAACAAGTGTGATCTATGCATATCCTAGATGTTAGTTGTTGAAATATATAATATTTCCCTACAATACATGGATTTGAGTTTGGGATTTTAATTGCCATAATATTAAACACTACTCTGCAATTATTTGGATTATGGTTTTTAAACTGGATCATGTTTTGGATGTTAATTGTTGAAATCTGATATATTATTTTACAATTAACTGGAGTATGGTTTTGAACCTTAATTGCTGAAATATTATATAAATTATTCTGCAATTAATCTGGATTATGGTTTTTGATATTAAAATTGCTGTTCTATTATTCATAGTCTGTAATTTATATAGTTTTGGATTTAAAATTGCTGAAATACTCTTCTGCAATTATTTGGAATGGTTATAGACTGTAAATTGCTAAACTATTATTTAATTGTTGTAATTTTCACGGATATGGAGGATAGTATGCACCGATATAGGACGGTGACATACTAGGTATGGTTTAGCTCAAAACGCTAATTCCTACCATATGAATTTTAATTGGTGAATAGTTTTACCTGTTCAATCAATTATATGGATTTTGTGGATTGTATGCACCGGTATGTGACGGTGGCATACTAGGGACAGACTGATTCAAAATACTCAGTCCTACCTATTTTGGAATAAAGGTACGGGTTGTTAAATAAAATCCTCCTTATATATATATGAGTCGGTGCGGTTGAATATGCCGAACAACTTACTGGATTTCTTATGGATGAATGTGACCGGATTTTATATATATTGTTATGCTACCGTGACATTAGCTTGAGTCTCATAGACGACGGTTAGGGAACGTATATGCAGTAGGATGCGTAGCTAGTTATGTTGGTTGAGGTATACCCTGTTAGGCTTAGGTAGTCATGCCCACTCAGGTACGTATTGCATGTTGCCTTCTATGCAGGTTGAGACCCTCAGCATAGTTTAGTGAGAGTCCTGTAGTGTGGATATATATTTATCTATTACGGACTATATAGATGTGGTTGGGACATCTAGGATGTATCTGCGTATCAGGTCTCTGTTTGGATTGTAGTTAGGATAGAACTTGTTCGTGGGCCTGACCCACTATTATTTTTCAGGTAACGGACGGTTCTAGGTCTTAGATCTTGTTCGTGCTAAGTAGAGACGGCTTCTCATTCTCCCGACGACGTAGGAGCTTCTTCATGATTTAGCAGTGGAGTTCTTCAGTTGATGATTTCAGTGTTGGAGTTTTTAGGGGTCCACCAGATGCATTCCCGAGTTGTATTAGAAATGGAGAATTTGGATGTTTCAGAATAATTCTTTATTAATTTAATTTTATTCTGAAATTTCAGTATTTGGATTATCATTCTAGTTTCTTCTCAGCAAATTTTTATTTATTCCTGTTTCCTTAATTGTATTATGTGTTCGTTTATTACTAATTGGTTTGATATCCTCGGGTAATCGGGCGTGGGCCTGGCCAACCCGCATCCTGAAATCTGGGGGTATCACATCTCTCTTCATTCTTCATCGGTACCAAGCCTTAAACCTTTGGCCGGCCAGATTGTAACACAAAATGATACCTAAGAAGACACAAGGAGGTTTGGTGTTAACAAGTTGTTCATTTATTGTTCGATACTGTAACTTTGGAAGCAGCTCACTTTAAATAAAATTACGAAGAATTAAGAGATTCTAATCCCATTTAATCGCAATCCAAAAGCAAATATTTAATTAATCCCTTTGTGCTAATAAAAAACAGTTAATTAAGCCCGTAGTACTTTGATGCAAATTAAAACAAGACCAAAAGAATCATAATTAATTTTAGCCGAGTGGGAAAATGTTAAAATATTAACAGTCGATCAGATGTAGAAAAAGAAAATATCTTGAAAAATTTCGTGAGTGAAACCAAACATGGTGGATAGATGGACAAGTAATGACATGATATGCCTATTCGCCAAATTTAAATTTGTAGATGCTTGGGGAGAGAGAATGCCATGTAAATCCATCGAGGAAAGTTCAAGCCAAATCTTTATACTATTTAGGGGTAGCAAAAATGGGTCATGACCCACCAACCTGTTCATATTCGCCCGCTTTAAAATGAATGTGAGTGAACCATTTTAAAATATGGGTAAAAATGGGTGACCCATATTTAACTCATTTTTATAGAGGTTTAAATGGGTTGAATATAGGTCATCTATATTTCACCCATTATACAAGAGACTTAGTTTCACAACCTCTATTTGACTCAAATTCACCTCTTTCTTTATAAAATTCTCTCACACGATTCCAAATTCTCTCTCCATCTCTCTAAAATTCGAAAGAAACCTATGTTTACATCTGTATTTCAAAGTAGGATGACCTGATTTATTCATTTAATTATTTATTCTATAAAAAGCTTAACAGATGATTTCATATATATATATATATATATATATATATATATATATAAATAATATCTTACTTTCATGGATGTCTAGTCACAAAATAGAATAATATAAATTTAAAGAATTTCCAATATAAATTAGAGGATTTACAATTATCTATACATATTGTTACAAGCTTTTATCAATCTAAAATAAAAAAAACTATAATAATTGTTATATATATATATATATATGGTGTAGGGTCCACTATTTATAAAAATTTAGAAGAAATGGATTAGTAGCGTGGCCCACTATTGAGAGAGTTTGGTACGCTGGTTTGAATTACGTGTATAGGTTTATTGTATATATAAATGTTGTAGGTGTGAATACATTAAATATATATAAGCAAGTTGTTTCCTTAGCTTGCTTTGTAAGCTTGGCTTAGCTATATATATATATATATATATATATATATATATATATATATATATGAGTATTGGTGTGTATCCGAGATGTATAGAAAAAAACAAAAGGAAATAAAAAAAGCTCCCTCTACATTGTGTCCTCTCTTTCAAAGTTCTTTGTTTTGATATTTTTGTTTATGTCAATTAATATTTATATAACAATAATGAGATTATCCAAAATAATAACTTTTTTTTCTTCTTTAAAACGGGTTGGCGAGTAATGACGAGTTAACCTGACCCAATTTAACCCAACCCATATTTAACCCGTTATAAGCGAGTTGAATATGAGTCACAACCCATATTCGACCCGCCCATTTGCCACCCCTAATGCTATTTTATTGTGTTGTTCCCGTCCCAAACTTAATTTGATACCCCGTCCCAAACTTAATTTGATACCCCCAAACATAGCATCAAATTTATCCATTGAATTAAAAATCAAAAACTAAATAAGTGAAAGAAAATAGATTTTCATTTAAGAATAAATTTTGGCAAAAGGGAGGTATTTTGAAATACCTCTGTTTCCATCAATTCTCTCTCTCTCTCTCTTTGAACACCAGTCTCGAACCCGGGCCAACAGCTCATTGTTAAGTCTATAAGCCACCAGGCCACAGGATCAACCGGTGCTCAGTTACTCTCCCTAAATATACTTTACTGGCTACAAGTTAGACTTGCTCACAGGATTTACATTGGTCGATTTCTAGGGTTTCAATTTTGATCTTTGATGACAAAATTGGAGCGGAAATTACTACTGATTCACTCCTCAACTTTTCAATTCGTATATACATACATACATACATCAAGAACATCTGGGTCGGCCTTCAAACAGCAATCAATCAAAGGTGTGCCATTTCTGTGTCTCAAAGATGTGTTTAAATACTTTCAGCATCAGTTACTCTACTCATCTGATTCATCAAAGTCTTGAGACATGTTAGCAGTAGTAGTTTAGGATCAAAAACGAAATGATTCATATTTTTTAGGGTTTAATTCACAAAACCTCACTCTACTGTCATTTTTTTGACACTGTACTAGAATTTGTAGTTCATTTTAAATGTTGGGGACAGAAAATGGAAGAATCCTGACTTTAATTTGACACCCTGCTTGTGATTCTTTGCGGCCACAACAAGATTGGTGTTCTACTGGTCCCACAGAACATAGCAACTGTGATTGAAACTCGATTCTCATCCGCTTCACACACACACACATGTTTTTTGTATATACATATAATCGTTTGGCTTTTCGAAACACCGAAATTGATGGTCAACATCAACACTGTTTGTTTTGTTTGTTACTCACACAAACAAGAACGACAATGCTGATCAGCAAGTTATATAAATACACATGTATATGTATGGATATGTGGCCAAAATTATGCTTTTGGTTTTTGCATGTCAGATGTGTGGCTCTGCTTGCTGGTGGGGATGTGTTGGCTTTACTTTTTTCTCCGCAATCGGAAGGTTCAGCTATGGGTTTTCTGTTTTTGACACTCAAACCCTAGGCATGGATGGCCCTTTTATAGCTGGTATATGTGTGTGATTGTTGTTTGATTTTTTTTTTTGGGGCATAAATTTGATGAATTGTATTGTAGTTCTTGTTTCTCGGAAACTCTGAATGTCTAGAATTGGCATTTGGTATTCAACAGGATGGATTTTGGGTGCTTATTTCCTTGGGGGTTATGGGGGAGGATGGCCGAGGAATGAATGGTTTCTCTAAGGCTGTTATTGCTGCTGCCAAATCTTGTTCTTTGGGTATTTCAGTAAGTTCATCTAGCTTTTGTTTATAATTTTTATTTTAAAATTATTTGCATTTATCAATTTTATTAATATTCAACATGTATTGAAATGCTTTATTTTGTTATTTGATTGATGCTTAATGTTACAAACAATATTATATAACAATGCCAGGATTATAAGCATGAAAGACAAAGAGGCCGGCCAAAGCTTACATGGGATGAAATAATTAAAAATGACTTAAAAATTTTGAATTTAAGAGTAGACATGGTGTATAATAGAAAGAATGGAAAAAGAGAATTCATGCGGCCGGCCCCATCCATATGGGATAAAGGCAAGAATGATGATGATGAATTTTTACCCTTCACTAAGCTGAATTTCCAAGCTCATGGGTTGATGGCTGAACAATAGTAAGTTGTAGATATTGATAATAGATTTGTGGGCTTAAATTTATAGTTTGAACTTGCATCAAGGACTGTAAAGGGGTTTCTATGTTGGAGTGTCAAGAGTTTGATTTTCTGTTTTAAATGCACTCTTGGTCAAGCAGCTAATCCTCTTTTTGATAACGATAGTTGATGCTTACCCAATAATTTGTTTTCAGTTCAGCTAGTTGCCATGCATTGCTGAAAATTTACAGCATTTATACCAACGAAACAAAAACATTGAGTGAAAGTTTACACCATCAGACTAGTTACAGGATTAGTCTTGTCACTTTCTGATATCTCCATAAAAATCTGAAAATTGAACAGCAGTGAGATAAATAAGGTGACCAATATTGGATAGTTAATCGAACAATATGAGAGATTCAGTATAATTATAAAACAATTTTTTTGATATTAGGGGAACTTCTTGGCCTTTCGATGCTCTAGTGCTTTATGTAGATCATGTTGCTTCATGGTCTTGAAAACTGAGTGAATTTTCTTTATTAGAATGAGATTTAATAGGTTTGAGTACCCTTTTCTAGGTGCATGCTTTGTTCATGTGCAGTAATGTGTATCCTTATCCTTATATTGACACGTTTTTCAACAAAATTGTATTTCTTACAAGCTAAGTATAACACCGAAATTCTCACCCAAGCTGGTGTTGCTTCTGAGAAAATTCATAACTTAAACTTTTCCTTAAGAGAAAATGTGATTGTCCAATATATCATCATTTTCTCAGAAGCACATGAATGTTGAGAGATACAATAAAACACTAGTATCTGGTTTTGATGTTCATTCTTAGTTTTTCCTTTATGTTTCTTTTGCTCGTAATTGTTGAGAGATACAATAAAACACTAGTATCTTCCAACAACTTGTCAAAACTTTTTTGTATTTATTAGCATCTACATGCAAGACTTGTATTTTCTCTAAGACTTCATTGGTGGTGCACATGGCTGAACCTCCTTGGTGGCTTCTCTTATTTGGTTTTCCACCAGTGTTATGTCGTCTTCTCTGGGGCTTCATTTCTAGTTCATCTGTTACGACTTTTTGTCATGAGTTTTGGCAATTTCAGTGTTTAAAACTTTTTGCAGTTGTGAATAGAATGGAAGGACATATGAGATAGGGGAGGGGAGGCATATGAAATGAGGGTGCTTCTGTTTAGTATCTTTTACCATTGTGAAATATGTGAACGCTTAACACTTGTCAGCTGCTGCTTTAGGTGCCGCAATGTTATAATTTTCACTTCCTCCCGAGGTTTCCTTGTCCTGCTCATTTAGTTGACATTTTTGTCTAAAGTTGATATCTGAAATCTATCCATCTCGTTAACTAACCCTTGCATTGTAAGTGATTTTGTTTTGATGGTACCTTATACAGCATCTTTGTTGGTATCAAGCACCAACACTAGTGTCAATGTCCTTGTATTTTTTGACTGTATGCAACAAGGTGATACAGATTTGCAAACCCTAAAATGTGGTGTCATTGTAAATCATGTTGAGGAAAGAGAAAACAGATGACATACCTGGAAATTTCTGATCTATAGCCAAAAAGTTTCATGATTAATTTCTGATATGTGAATTCGTGTCAACTTTAGTAGACACCTTTGTTTTTTTGCATTATAGCAAGTCTATTTTAATTTTTAATCCGTCTAACAATTTCCTAAACTTTGGTTATTTATCAAACCCTTTTTTTTCTTTCTCTATTTGCCTTTTCTTGGCAGGTGGGAATGACAATAAGGGCAGCAACAGTAGGCCATATTCCGCCACCTAGCTTTATCCTAGCAACCATGGGAAGCACTGCTTTTTTACTTATTGGATGGAGAGCAGCACTATTGTTCAGCATTCTCCCTGATGAATCTGATGATAAAAGCAAGAAGGGTGATGAATCTGATGATAAAAGCCATTTGATCAGCAACTTGGAATTCATAGTAATGCGTTGACTTCTCATTTCAAGTTTAGTGAGTCCTTATCTCAGATCCAATTATCTTTTTCCTGATTTTACAAAAAGAAACAAATATGAAAAACTATCCTTGATGACTGAAATGTCTTTATGATATTTAGAAATGCTTTCTGGTATTCCGTTAGATTATGTAAAATGGATTTGGATACATGTATCGAGTGTTTGTATCTCTCTCAAAGCATCCGATTTCTGAAATTCCCTAAACCAAGGACACGGTAGTATTGCTAAATATATATATATTTTTTCTTTTTTTAGTAAATCTCATAATGTACGATTATATAGTAAACTTGAATTATTAGATAATGTTTGTTAGGTGCATGTCGAACCAGAATGTCACACATTTGCCCCATACCCCCATGAGTACTCGTGTTGTGTGTCTGACATAGGCCGAGGATATTCAGCATACATGAAAATTTGTTGATGAACCCTCTGGTTTTCGATTTCCTAACTGAAAAATATATTTTGTTCTTTTGGTGCAGTCGATCACATCTTTTGTTCAATGGGTGGTGAAATAGTGGTCATCTGTGTGCTTGGAACATTAGCCCTCGTAAATGATTTTTTGCGGTTTCTGTAACCAAACACTCCTTGTACTTGCAGGCAGCAACAATTGTAACCAGTGAAAAAAATTCTCAGATGTCCTTTTTATTTATTTATTTATTTTTATTTTATGGTTTTTGATATTTTGTGTCTCCTAGTTTCAATATAATGGCAGTTGCTTGATTCTTTGAGGGAAAAAAAATCCTCATAATCTCTTACTGCTAATTGCTCTGTATAATTTTAAAAATCGCACTAATTTATTAAACCTTAATCTAAATTATCTACACATCTATGTTCTTAGATGTTATTATATTCTTCTATACTATACCGATGATTTACAGGTTTCTTCTTGTCACTGTCAATCCAAAACAAAATATTTTTTAAAAAGAATTGGATATCAAGAATGCCACTTGAGTATGTTTTATAGGTTTTAAATCATTTTCACTCAAGGACAAGTGGATTCTTAAATTGGTGCCTAGAGCACAAAAGAAATATCATGCCAAGAATTCCTCTCACTCGCAAAATGGAATGGATGCATCACATTAAAAAACAACTTCCAAGCTAATGAAGTTAATACCATCGGTAAACAATTCTTTTCTCATTAATATGCTTTTATATAAAGAATTCAATCATGAAATTCTAAGCATGACGCTCTTGATATGCTACTTGTTCCTAATAGATGTAAAAATGTTTATATTTTGATATTTTGCATAAAAGTAGTTTGTTTTGGCATATGAGTTATGAACATGCTAACATGAAACGATTCTCTATCTTTCAAATGATCTTTAGATTAACTATGCCCAATCTTTGTGAAAGATTTATTAGAAGTTATGCCATAAAATGAAAGCACACATTATCTAATGTAGACCATCAATGCTATTTCATGTGAACCTTATCAAATGTATTAAAGTAGCAATGTATAAAAAGTCATCTATATGCTTTTGTGATCTTAAATGTTTTATCTATACTTAATTGTGTCACTTCCATGTATATAGAAAATGAGGTTGTTCAACTTGAAAAGGTTTAGATGGACTTGAAAAATGATAAATCATATAGGTCCTATCTTGAATACCTAAAGGAATAAATCTCATTGGAAGAGTCATCTAATTAAAATGAAGAATGTGAATTTATATTGCTTTCCTAAGAGTTAAAGTGTTCACCACCATTTAAGTGATCATTCATTGGAGAACATTCTAT